AGAAGCCTATTACAACTGATCTCATCTGCTATGGCTCCCAAATATTACCATGGCCTCTTGGGAATTGGTTGACCTTTTCCTTAATGGAATGGAGCAAGGAAAAAGAAGTGACTACTGATGGCTGAATAAATAACTTAATTGCAGTTCCCCCCATTAATGCTCTTAGACACAGCAGTGTCAACTAGCCATCACGTAGTATATTAAAATGGCATTAAAATCATTCAGAGTAGCATAGCAGCATGAAGAGGCCATTAACATTTTCTCCTTTTTGACTCCCCATTATGATTTTTTAAAAACATAATAATGTAGCTCTCAGACTATAAGAATTCTGATTTGCTTTCCAAATGAGAAAGCTTATTAGTCTGAATTATATCATACAGTTGAGTGGCCTGAGCTGACAACCTGTCAGCTTGTTACCACGTTCTTTGGACCTTACTTGATGAAAAGATTGTAGCTGGACATTTGGAATAAATAGAGCATCCCGCAAGCTATTGACAGCCAAATCTACATCTCTAAATCAGATCTATGATGAAATTGATTGGTTAAACACATTTCCAATGGAATAGGACTTCTGGATTTATGTATTGTTGCTTTTTTACATATTGAGTTCATCTTTGGCATTTCTCTCCAGCAAAATTAGCTTACAACAACTATCCTTTTAGTGGCATATGGGGTGTTAAGTTGTACTACACATGCAGAGTTGTTTTCTTTTAGGACAGTGCACAATGTATGTGTCCAGCTGATAGCAGCATAAACAGAGATGCATGAGTGGGTCCGTTGTGCATGCAACAGTGGATTAAAACACACATAGTACAAGGTAAGGCACACTGTCTCTATGCATTAACTTTGTGCATTATAGTTCCACAATATGTTGTCAGCGCTGCATATTGACCATGGAATTACATTTGCTGCATTTCATTGGTGCACATTACAAGGACTAAGCAAAGTAACTCCGCTGGTGGGCATTTACACTATTCAGAAATGATGTAGGATCTTGATCAATATAAGTTAAAACAAACTTGCTAAAACAATATATTGTACGAGGGTTATCGGGAAATTAAGGTTACAAGGCACGTAGCTCTCATGGGGAATTTTCACGGAGAAATTTGGTATCCAGCAGAAACGAACAAGCAGTGCCAGTCATCAGTAGCTCATCAGTGCCAGTCATCAGTTAGAGATGAGCGTCCTCATTCCTTTCCCTCCAAGTGCAAAGGTCGCACTGTAATATGCTACCTAAATGCTAAGGACATACACACCGCTGCAATTTATCATGAAATCATTTCAGTTTATAGAGAGGACCTAATGTCAAGACAGCATGTGACAAAATGGGTATGGAATAGATTGTGAGACCATGAAGAAACTTCACAGAGCCATCCAAAACAAACATCGTGGGATGCTGACTCGGGAGTCTATCTCCTTCCTTTTTTWAAAAAAAAACCCATTTTATTGAAATAATATGAGATTACATAGAAAGTGGGTGAATATTTTTAAGAAGACAGAAAAGTAGGAAATTATAGAAAGAGATATAAAGAGAAAGAGTATAAAAGTCCAGGTCCCCCCCCCCCCAAAAAAAAAACTTTAAAAAGAAAAAAAAGAAAAGAAAAAAAGAAAAAGAAAAAGAAGAAAAGGACTTCCTTCTAATTCTGCCCGTATTGTCTCTTTTTGTCTGTATTTGTACAAATCCATTTTTATATTTCTTGATTGTAAGCTAAGTCCAATTACTTATCTTTGTATCTTCAATATAGTCATCTGTCTCCTTCTTGACAATATTTTCAATATAGTCATCTGTCTCCTTCTTGACAATGCATATCCGCACACTGCTCATGCAACACAAGAGTTGTTGACTTCATTTGTTTGGGATGTTTTAAGCCTCTCCTCTCACAGCCCTGATCTCACACCCAGTGACTATCATCTGGTTACTACATTGAAGGAACACTTTGGTGAAAAACACTTTTCCAATGACAATGAGGTGAAAATCAAAATGTCAAACTGGCTGAAAAAGGTGGAAGGAAGTTTCTATGATATAGGCATCAAAAACTCAACCCACGGATGACAAAATATATTGAACTGAATGGTGATTATGTGGAAAAATAATGTAATACCTGTGCTACAATCCATGTAAGTTTTATTAAAATAAATTCATTCTTTGTATTTTTAAAAAATCTTGTAACCTTACTTTCCAGATAACTCTGATACAAATGTTTAGAAACATTTTTTCTTTCTGTATTACTGAACAAAAATTAATTTTAAAAAGAAACCATTAAGCAAGTCATTAGACAACCCACTAAAAGCACATTCATCACAATAATAAAACATGTAGCATTTCCATTCAGGATCCAGATATCCTTTAAATTTCCTACAATACCTCTCAGCAACACTGGACTAAGAATAATATAAGAAATTAGAAGTGGGGGATAGATCCATTCAGCTAGTCACATATGGGTGTGGAGACACAATTCTCTGAGAGTTAATCCCCTGTACTTTTTGAATGGACTTACGTTAAATTGCAACGTGCATCTATTGTATGACTACATGAGTAAAAGAGAATCTTAGCCTACATCTTAGCCTGTAACAGATTTGAAATGCATTTATTTCCCCCAAATCTTTTTCTGTATGGCAGGGCTTTGGTCTAGCTGGTCCATGTGGTCTCCTCCTATTTTTCATTCTTCGATTCTATCTAATTGTCTGTGAAGACAGGTACATCAAGTTTCCAAATCTAGAAGAAGAAGATGATGTTAGGAGGGCCAACATGTCAACTGATACAGATGTAGAGGCTCATGGGAGACGAACAATTGGTCGATCGCTAAAGATAAAGGACTAATGAGTAGTTGAGTTGACTATGTGAATGTTAATGCACACTGATATATGGCTTGAAGAAAAGTTGTAGAATCATGCAGTCATAGAGTTGGAAGAGACCTCTTAAGCCATCCAGGCCAACTCCCTGCCAAGAAGCAGGAAAATCAGCACATCCAAGGAAATACCTGTAGCAGAATGTCAACTAATAGTAAACAATTGCTGCTGATAAGTCACTAGGAACAATGGTTTCAAAGTACAAAAAAGCTAAGTACTAGCAACAAATATGCAAGTAGTTTGAGAAAGACACTGAAAATGTTCCAGTACATTGAAGATCATACCATCTACTTAGGCATCCATTATTTGCATGCTCTTCCGCTGCACCTTTGTTGATTAGGTGCATTAAATTTTTTAATGTAATTTTGATGATGTTGTTGTTATTTGTTATTTATGTTTTGATTTTATTGCTGTAATATGTTGTCCAGGCTTGGCCCCATGTAACCCGCTCTGAGTCCCCACAGGGGAGATGGTGGCGGGGTATAAATAAAGATTATTATTATTATTATTATTATTTCTCCCGGTCTCTAAGACAGTGGTTCTTAACTTGTGGGCTGCGGACCACCAGTGGGCCGTGAGGACTGAAATCTGGTCTGCAAGCTCCCTTTATTGCTGACCATGGCATATCTTCATCATTTCTGGCACTTCATAAGTGATAATCAGGACGTATATGGGCAAGCAATGTCAGAGTGTGGTCAAGATGTCAAAATGTATTAATGAGAAAGAACAAACAAACTAGGATAGATGGCAGCAGTTTGCTTTTGCTAGAACTTACTGGGAAGAAAAGGATTTCTCTCCTCTCTGCTCCCTCTTGTTGATTTAATTAGTGCAAACTACATTTTCACTCAGTTTGCAAGAAGAGAAATGATGACTAAAAGCAGCAGAAAAACTGGAATGGCAGAGAATTAACTGAGACTGCACCTTTGGCTGTTGAGTATGCATGATGAAGTATGTAACTGTGGCTGTAAGTGTGACGTTGGTATATTGTGATCCAAGGTCTTTTTTAAAACGAGAAGGCTTCTAAGAGGTTGAAGCTGCATTGGAGACAAATACAGATATAGATTCATAAATACACACACACAAGGGCAATTAACCTGCAATTAATCATAGGCATTTGTCCTGCTAGCTGTGCACTAAACTGCAGCTGCAGAACCAGAGATATGACTGAAGTGCCTCTGAAGATCAGACTAATATATGCCTTATGCATAAACACATCAAAGCAAATTGCTTAAAAGCAATTACAATGTAATTAATATCAAATCTATTTCAACTGTCCTTTTTGCATTAGAATAGTCTCAGGTGACTTGTGACAGCCACAGCCACATCAGGACCAAATGCCAAAACAGATGTTTACTAAACCTATGTTCCCCTGGTTGGTTGTAATCTCAGGGCCGTGCTGGTTTAAAAATGGAAAGGAGATCATGAAGAAGAAAAGGGAAGAGAAAAGCAGCAACTCCTTTATTCCTGTCGCAAAAGATCAGGCAGCTTGTCACACATGATGTGGGTGTGTAATTGCATCCGCAAAGTGATTGCTGCAATAGAAGTAGAGACCATCATAACTAGAAAGAGCAAAGGATCAGCCGAGTGCGACATGAAGGCAAGGCCACAGATGGTCAACAAAGTTTATTAAATTGGAATTTGAGGACCTATTAAAGTATGGTATTCAGTATAACTTGAATCTGGAATTGCTTGGTGAAAAAGTAAAAGGGAAAATTAATGTACTTGTACTGAACTTTCAGCCTTAATACAGCACAATACCATCTTTTTGAGCAACAATCCTGTTCACTGATGATAGCAGTTTTATTTGGAACATCAGCAGGCTTTTCAGCTAAAACACTGAAGAAATCATATGGTAGGGAGACTAGGGACCTTTTCACATGGGACATTTTTCTCCATTTTGCCGTAAAGATGGGGCCTGCCATTCTCCATCTCATGATGCATAGCAGATCCCAATCACATTCCTCCCTGTGTGTCCCGAAAACAAATGAGGTCTCCTTAGCTCAATGTTGGAATCATGAAAATCTTTTGCAACAGTAAAAAGCCACACATTTACTATTAGCAAGAACTTGCAGTGTTTACAGTGGATCCTGCAGAAAATGCTTAAGTTGCTTCAGTTGTACTCCACGAAAAGGTAAATCAGTCTGTTTAGCAAGTTTGCAAATGCCGATTTATTATTAGAAATATTTGATATATATACCTTTTTATATATCTACATATCTGCCCCCTGGTGGCACAGCGGGTTAAACCATTGAGCTGTTGAACTTGCTGACCGAATGATCGGCAATCTGAGATCCCACTATTAGTCCAAGCTTCTGTCAACCTAGCAGTTCGAAAACATGCAAATGTGAGTAGATCAGTGGGTACCACCTTGGTGGGAAGGTAATGGTGCTCCATGCAGTTATGCTGGACACATTATCTTGGAGGTATCTATGGACAACACCGGCTCTTAAGCTTAGAAATGGAGATGAATATCACCTCCCAGAGTTGGACATGACTAGACTTAATGTCAGGGGAAACCTTTACCTTTACTTATATATCTGAGATTACATAAAAAAATTATTGAGCGGAATGAGGTTGCAAGTGGAAAAAGTTTAAGAAGCCCTCATATAGAATCTCAGCCTATGAATGGAATACTATTTTCTATATTACTAGACATAAACTACTAATATATCTAAAAAACAAACACGACAGTCTTCAGAGAAGAACTGTTTAAAATGTACATGTATTTATAATGTGGCACAACCATTAAAGGCTGGATTTTACACATTTACAGGTCGTATTTCAACAAAAGGAATACGAATTCAGCTAAGACAAAGATTTTTCAATAACAAACAGCAGTTTGGTCTCCACTTCTAGATAAGTAGCAATGTGCAGGCCTTTTAAAAGAATCATTATGGAAATGAGGGATGTGTTGATGATGTGTTAAACCAGGCACATAAACTAGTTGAGAGGAAATATTGGAAGATGTATTGGAAAAAAAGGCCAAATCTATTTAATAGCACCCCATTTTTAATATCATCCATTAGTTTATAGTATCTGTTGTTGCTGGTAACAAAGGAATATTGTATGAAAAATTGCCATTGTACTATATATATATTCCTTTTCATACAACTCCTACTTGGGTTTGAATAGCATCAAGACAGAGAAAAATAAGCTCTCTTTAGATCATTTTACTTCTTTTGCTGATGTTATGCTTCATCCAAATATACAAGGAATGGAAAATGTGGGACTCTCCAAATGATGTTGGGACTGCGGCACTGTCCATGCTATTGAGGGCTGATAGGAACTGGGATTCAAGACCATCTGGAGAGCTATATATTCAATCTTTAACAGGCAAGCAATCAAACCTTTGCAGAAATGTAAAACTGCTATTGCAATTTAGGGCACAAGTGTTCAGTGCCAACTCCAGTTCTTGTTTGCCCTCATGGTTGAACAAATGCAGAACTAGAAATCACAATGTCCACGGTTGGTGGCACTCTGTGCAATCTGTGCTTACTCCATACACGTTTACTACACACAAAACCTCTAGCTAAGTGCCCTGATACAGTGAAATCAAAATCTAGAGATGTGTTTTTGACACAAATCCCCCTAGAACTGGTTGCAAGTGACCAGAACAAAACCTCTTTTTCGAGAAGATGGTGGTGTGGACTGTGAGGGATACAGGCAAATGTCCATCACTGAGCTGTGGGCTTGTCTAGACATTATGTAATCCAGGGGTTACCAGTTAGCATCTATAAATGTAACCAGTTCCCATCAGAATTTTGGCATCTTTTAAGCTTGGCAGAAGGGAATATAAAATATTATGGTCCCCCTAATGTTCAGCAGTCCTGCCCATGACCACATAAGCAAGAAATATATAATTTGGCTCATGTCAACCAGCCTTTGGGAAATGGCTATTGCATGAATCAACTTGAATATTGAAATTTGGGGGTGAGATGTCAGCATAGGAAAGGAGAAACCTACTTATTGTAACACAGCCCAGCTCCCAAAATATTCTTGGTGTCTTGTTTTTTAAGCCTGTTTCTGGAGTTATCTGGGGCGCTGATTCAGAAAATTGCATTGGATAGACCACATCAGCTCTATTACTTAGATATGGTTATCAGGAATCTATAGTCAAGCAGATGAAGATTGGCATGCAGTATAAGTTCTGTATCTCGAAATCTATAGCTGATAAGGGATAACTGGTGCTATTTTTCAAATTAGCAAGACAAATATACCCAGAAACAGGACAAACATTTGAGGCACCAAAATATGTGTTGGCTAATGTAATTCATTCTGTTTGTGTCTCCGACAGCAAAGTTTCAGTACGAGATTCTGCATAGGACATTGGTTTCATTCACATCATCAGCAAAAATGATTCTTATGACATTAATTTCACAATTCTTTGGATATTTATAGTTTCTAGCTACAGCATATTAGATTTTCACTTGCAGGACTTGGGTGGAAAAATATGATCCAAGGACTCCATTTGGGATCTCCTAAGACTTACTGCCCTTTCTCTAACTCATCAGTTAAGATCATCATGGACAATATCTGGGGATTATTCAAAATATCTGAAGGAAACAGCTTAAGGATAACTGGGGTAGGGTGTTCTTTCATTGATTAAAATGCAGTTTTTCTATTTCAATCTCATCAGATCCCCTTGATGAATGCAAAAGGATCTGCTTTAATTGTTACCAGCAATCATTCAAGACTAATCAAAACAATTTTGAAAATTGCTTGATGCATAAATGATTAATAGGACAGTCATTACAATATGAAATCTTGATCACATGCATCTCACCCGACCAACCAAATTCCCCTCCCTGGCAGTCGTTCATTTGTAGGTTTTGTTGTTTATTTTCAGAAAACTTCACTGCTTCTCATGGGAGTGCTGGTACAAGCAAAATAAGGAAAGATGTCCACATTGGATGTTTAGTCTTAAGCAGGATTTCATATATATATATATATTCAAATAAGGAAAATCCATCATATTGCCAATCAACAGACACACAGGAAAGCAAAAAATGAGGAAATGAATTGGATTTGGAAGAGGAAGTTTACCTGAAAGCCTATTTCATAAAACTATGTCATAGCGGCATCTCCCAATAACACCCAACACTTGAGGTGAATGGCTAAGAACAAGTTACATGAGACATAATTATTTTTGGCAAAGAGGGATGTGAATCAGCCTACGTCCATTCACATTTGCCACTAGCCAGGTGGCAAGCTTTTTTTGGGATGAATATCAAGTTGGCTCATTCTCCACTGAGTCTCAAAAAGAGATTTTGTACTAAGGTTTTTCCAAATCCTTTGGCACACTTGAAAGTCACAAGGGCAGCACTTCTGTTCTGATCTTTTTTGTCTGTCCATTTGATTCAGGCTGTGAATCCTTCCTTTTACTCTTTTTCTGCTGCTGGAGTCTCTCTTCCTTCTTTTGTAGGTAAACAGCCATGTTATCAAAAGAAGCCTTGTAGAGATTTTGGTAGCAACTCTCTCTGCCAACGCAGCCTGTGTAAATGGAAACAATGGAAAGAGTGAAGCTGAGAAAGTTGCTCTACAGTTCCTGATTTGCAAGGAAGTGGTTCTCCCCTCCGGTATGAATGATGGAAAAAGACTTAAGTGCTTATATTCTGCACTTATCGAGCCTTTCAATAACCCAGAATGAGAAGTAAGAAGGTACTGGATGGTTTGGAAAAAAGGAATCAAGAAATTAAAATCTTTTTTAAATTTTTAAGTTGCCTAAACCAAGAATCTATCATTCTTGTACTATATATACTTGCTGTACATATTCTTTTGAGATTATCCTAGGAAGGGCATGGTGTGATGCCTGGCTGGATTTGTGAGGCTACAGCAGAAGGAACCAAGTCACAAACATCCCTCCTAAGGGCCCTTCCAGACAAGCCCTATATCCCAGGATCTGATCCCAGATTTTCTGCTTTAAACTGGATTATATGAGTCCACACTGCCAGATAATATGGGATAAACAGAACACCTGGGACCAGATCCTGGGATATGAGCCTGTCTGAATGGGCCCTAAGTTGCACCAGTGATTCCCTGCTTCCTCATCTAACACCTATTAGGAACCATTTTAGCAGTAAAATGCTTTCCATCCCAGAACTGCATTTTAAAGAACTGGCACCTGAATTTGCTTTTCCACTATTCTCTACTCATTGCTTTTCGTCACAGTGTTTCCTTTGGATTGTAAGCATTATAGTAGGGACTGCCTCATCTGTCATCGATCTGTTGATCATGTAGGGAGCCTTTTCAGCAAAACAGTAGAGTTTGAACAGGCAGGATTACGTTAGCAGCCAGTGGAGATGTTTTAATAAGGACATAGTGTGCTCCCTATAATCAGCCCCAGTTAGTAATCTGGCTGCCGACATTTGCACTAACTGCCATTGGGGATAAATCCGAACAGGTACGTTGTGAGTATTTAGAAAGGTCACAAAGTTGGTGTCACAGAATCAGGGATCAGGACAGGCCCTCACTCTTAATAACTAAATTGTGCATCTTAGAAGTTTCCACAGATGATGGGTTAAAAAGTGGAAAACCATCATTTGGCCACAGGGTGGGACTGCCATACAGATGGTGCCACTGATGGGATTGCCCAAGTTGGTAGGAAAGGGGTTGGGAAACCTACATATTTGGTGATCGCCAAATATGGGATAAAGAGTCGAATCCTCACATAAGAGGACCACATCAATAGTGGCTAGAAATTAAGAACGTTTTAGGAGTCATTTAATCCCTTCTTGTATTAAAGAAGGATGAATTATTTCAGTGGGGCTTTGTTTTCAGCTATGAAAGTTGAGACAAAGGTAAATGTTCAGAGGTACAGCAGTCCTTGATAATAATTTGTTAACGCAGCTTCCATCTTTAATGCCTGTAAGCATGTACAATTAATTTTGAGCTTGCCTGGGCTCCCCTGATTTGTAACTTTGTTACAAACCATGTACCTGTCCCTGTCATTCTAGGAGACTCCCTGAACCATGAAGATACATTAATTGGGAGGTATGGTAGGCATCGCACAATTATCTGGCAAGATTAATTTTGTTTTAAAAATGTCTCTAATGGGTACTGTGCTCAGCTGCTTGGCTGCTCTGTCACTTGAAAAGAGAAACAGATCTGCCTCTGCAGGGAACACAATCAGCAAATCCGCGTGTATTCTTGGCCTTCCACTTGGCTGGACAACAGGACAGCTATGCCAGATTTTCTGCCCAGTGACAATTCGTTCACACTGAAGTTTAAATAGTCACTGCGACTGTGAACATATCAGGATAGAATGGTTATTGTGATGCTCTGATGAAGCATCACTAAAGTTTGAGCAAGGAGAGTGCGCAAATGAAAAAAGAACTGTTCACATTTGACAATAAAACAGCTACCTTTTCTATAGGGGTAAAGACGCTAATTAAGCATCTGGAACAGGACTCATCATCCCAGCTCTCGTGTGCTAATTAGCTATGGTAATCACTGTAATCTTAATAGCCCCCTTTCCCCAGCTGCTGGAACACTTAGAATCTGTGCACAGCATTTTAATTCGCTATCTGGAAAAATATTTCACTGTTTTCTCCCATTATTCAGCTCTTCTTTTGTGGGTTGGTTGGATGTTTATCTCACCAGAGGCCAAATGCTAATGGCAAAGTGTAACAAAAGATATCAGAAAGCCAGTTCCTCCAGTGCAAAATTATCTAAAGCAACAGATTTCAAATTTTCTACCTTGGGAAAGTCATGTCCACAATTACAGAGGTTCTGGGACATGATCAAGAATGTGCACTTTATCTGTGTGGAACAAAAGCTAACCTTTTTGAGCCTAGGGGCAAAACCGATAAACTCATTTGTTGGAAAATTGCAAACCATGGCAGTGGGAAAGAATTTGGAATATTGTAATATTACTGATTTTCCATGCACAGACTCTCTTGATAAGCATAGTGAAAAACACTGGGGGCCCCAAGACCCTGTTTGAAAGTTAATAGGCATTAAATGTTTGCCTTTGTGTATGCTGGAATTTGTCCTGAGTCCCCTTGAGGAGATAGAGTGGAATACAAATAAAGTATTATTATTATTATTATTATTATTATTATTATTATTATTATCATCCCAATTGTAGATTTAAATCATGTAAAATCCTATCTGTTTTCCTTCTTCCATTGTCACTCATGTCCCTCAGTTATTCCGAAAGCTTGATTAACTATGTCCTTAGCTCAATATTTTCAACTTCAGTTTGAATCAGGAGTGGGTATATTACAAATTCATCCAATTCCCCATCACATCCTTCCTGCTCCTTCCAAAACACTCTTAACTATCTTAAAGCAGAACTTCTAAAAGTCAACCTTTAATGGAAGCTGTAAGATGCATGCACTCCAAATCCTCATCAAACAGCCAATCAAAAGAGTGTTCTCTTGATCCTTGAACTCAGCATTCTTACCTTCAAAGGCTGTCCAGTTGTCATGAATGTACTTTGTCATTTTCTTCAATCCTTTGTCTTCAATATCAGGCTGAAAGAGAAGAAAGACGTATCTTGAAGAAAAATAACAGAATGCTTTTTGTAAGAAAAGCCTTGACCTGAGATCAACACACCTGTATTTTTTTAAGTTTGCCTTGAATCACTTGGGTATTTCCATGTTTTTACACTTTTGAAGGAAACTCAAGACTTGGTTGTGGGACCAAGCGTTTGATCATTTAATAGCAGCAAGTAAGAAGAAGACATAAGCAATTTGAAGTGTCAATGAACTGACCCGGACTTTGGTTTTAACTGGCGTGTTTTTAACAACTGTTTATTTAATGTTGTTTTAATGAATTTGTTGAATGTTTTTTGGTGCTTGTTGTGAGGTCGCCCTGAGTCCCCCCTCAGGGGTGAGAAGGGAGGGGTACAAGTGTATGAAATAAATAAATAAATAAATAAATAGACATTCAGCTAACTTTTCCAGGATACCTCTGTTTACTTGACTATTGGGTCAGAATGATCAAAAGAGGGCCTATCCTATGTTATCATGTTTGGATGATGAAGCACTACATAGGATTTATCAGATGTCGTATCCATGTCTTTTCAAACTAACCATAAAACAGGGATGTACAACTCCCAGAGGGTCTCTACTAGAACTCAGAGGGTCACATCTTCTCCATTGGTGTCTATCTGAACTCCAAGCATCTCCTTGCACTCTCCAGAAAATTCGGGAGACAACTTTGCCATATCACTCCCCCTCCCCCCCATCATATTGTAAACCCAGAAGGGGCCTTTCTTTCAAAACTAACCAGCTGTAATCAGAGAGCTCCTCTCACCTGCCATTGTCCATCCACAAGTTGGTAGAAGAGAAGAGGTGTTTCCATGTCCTCCTGTAGAACCCAAAGTCCACCTGTGTCCTCAAAAGCAATGTCCCAGCCTTTGCAGTTCAAAGGGATATGCTGCTTGTCGATGAGTTTCTGAGCACCAGCATCAAGCTGGAAGATGGATATTGTGGGAGCACTTTTCAGAAAGAAACATGATGGTTATCCTTCGCTCTTTTACAGATCAACTTACCTACATCACAGTTTCACAGGCTGAAATCAAGTCATTTTTATTTGTTTGTTGTACTTTTAAAATAGCCCTACAGCCAATGTTTTGTGGATGATGTTCAGTTTGTTAAAAATGGAAAATGCACCAATAGCTTAAACAATGACGAAAGAAGCAGACAATAAAACATTTCAATAGAAAAAGCAAAGTGAAGTGCAATCCTCAAATTTTAGAATCATAGAATTGGAAGAGACCTCGTCAATCATCCAGTCCAACCCTTCGTCAAGAAGCAGAAAAATCTCATTCAAAGCACTCCCGACAGATGGCCATCCAGCCTCTGTTTAAACGCCTCCAAAGAAGGAGCTTCCACCACACTCCGGGGCAGAGAGTTCCACTGCTGAACAGCTCTCACAGTCAGGAAGTTCTTCCTCATGTTCAGGTGGAATCTCCTTTCCTGTAGTTTGAAGCCATTGTTCCATGTCCTAGTCTTCAGGGCAGCAGGAAACAGGCTTGCTCCCTCCTCCCTATGACTTCCTCTCACATCTTGATACATGGCCATCATGTCTCCTCTCAGTCTTCTCTTCTGCAGACTAAACATGCCCAGCTCTTTAAGCTGCTCCTCATAGAGTTTGTTGTCAAGATCCTTAATCATTTTAGACACCCTCTCTGGACACATTCCAACTTGTCAACATCTCCCTTTCCACATTTCCACTCAGAAAAAGTCCCAAAACTTCAGTGAGATTTCTCCCAATTTAGTGGGTGTATATTTGCAATGTTGGAAACCTTTTATAGGACAATAACAAAGTCCTCCTGAACTTTATTCAATGTTCCCAGTATTGACCACCACGCACCCTATGGGTATTAATAACCATAACTAATAACTACTGTAGCAGGGTGGGCAAGTGTGGGAGACAAAAGAGCTTTGTCTCCCACACCAAAAGGTTTTGAAGGAAACCAAAAGGTTTTGAAGGAAACCAAAATGTTTTGAAGGCAAGTATCCCACACCACATTCCATCCCCAAATGCCCTCTACAGTAAATGGAGACATTTTTACCATACTGTGAACCATTTTAGGTCCAAAAGAGGCCTTTGTTTCTTTTAACGGCAGAATTTTACTGGGCAATGATTTCCTATTTTTTAAAGGTTTCTCTTGGGCCAGCAATAGCCTTGGGAAGAAAAATGCATAGCAAAGACACCCCCATGCTCCCTAGATGAGAGCATCTGGTGGCAAAACCCCTATAGATTTCTACTGCTGAGGAAGGATTCAAACTCCAGAAACAAAGTTCAAATCTCAAATAACTACATTACACTTGTGGAGCCCCCCAGTGGCACGATGGGTTAAACCCTTATGCCAGCAGGACTGCTGACTGAAAGGCCAGCAGTTTGAATCAGGGGAGCAGGGTGAGTGAGCTCCAGCTTCCCATGTGGGGAGAAGCCTCTCACAGGATGATAAAACATCCAGGTGTCCCCCGGGCAACATCCGTGCACATGGCCATTTCTCTAACACCAGAAGCAACTTGTAGTTTCTCAAGTCGCTCTTAACATGAAAAGAAAACTACACTGGTTCTCCTTTGATACCCTCTATTAATTCAGAAAGTACCATTTTATTTATGCAAAATGTCATTATTATGTATAAAGAGAAACTAGTGTCTTTGGAGGCTATGATATCAGAGCTTTCACATCAATTCTAAACTGTCAGAAAGAGAGAAATATATTAATCCCATGCTTCCCCTTTCAAGAAAACAGCTTTTGAAAGAAAAAAAAAACCTTACCAGTCATATAGAATGGCAATGCAACTTTCTTCACAACAGTAGGCTATCCTTAAGACTGTGTATTTCTGAGGAGAGAAAATGAGATGCAATCAGAGTCTGTAAGAACTTGGGAGACTTGTGGGGAAGTGGATGATGGGCTGTAAAAGAAACAGGGAAAGCAAGAGTTTTTTTATGTGCAGCTTGAAGGGTGAGGTTGGATATCTTATTTATTTATTTATTTATTTACTATTCTTGTATACCGCTGTATCTCAAGCCCGAGGGCGACTCACAGCGGTTTCCAGACAGCAAACAACAAGACAATAAAAACAGCAATAATTAATATACCATAACAGTTAAATTACACATTTCCATTACTAGCTAATAAACAAACATCAATACACAGTTATCACAAACCCACCCCCGATCGCCTCATCATCCAAGCGTGATCCAAATTCGACGTCCATTGTTCCGTTCCTATGTTCAAATTACCAAAATTGCACTGAATTACTCAAACGCCTGCACGAACATCCAGGTCTTCAACTTTCTACGGAATGTCATGAGGGATGGTGCCAGCCTAACCTCTATAGGAAGGGCGTTCCACAGCCGAGGAGCCACCACCGAGAAGGCCCTATCTCTCGTCCCCGCCAACCGTGCTTGAGAGGCTGGCGGGATCGAGAGCAGGGCCTCCCCGGAAGATCTCAAAGTCCGGGTGGGTTCATAGGCCGAGATGCGGTCAGCTAGGTATCTTGGGCCGGAACCATTTAGGGCTTTATAGGCCAGTACCAACACCTTGAATTGGGCCCGGTAGCAAATCGGCAGCCAGTGGAGCTGGTGCAACAGGGGGGTTGTGTGCTCCCTGCGCTCCGCTCCTGTTAGAATCATGGCTGCCGCGCGTTGGACTAATTGCAGCTTCCGGGCCGTCTTCAGGGGCAGCCCCACGTAGAGAGCGTTGCAGTAATCTAGGCGGGATGTGACAAGAGCGTGTACCACCGTGTCTCCACACAGCGCTGAAGATGAGCCAGCATACTGTTGTCCACTCACTGGCTGTTCATTCCCACAGCAAGGCCAGGTATCCAAAAAGACAAGACTATCTTTACCTATATCTAGAACTATCTTGTCTCCTGTGTCATCAGTTGGGAGCCCCTCGCCCAGCACCAACTGCTACTCTGGGACCACAGAGGAGAGGGGCCAGGAAGGCAGATCCATTTTGTCTCCTGCACTGTACTAATAATATAATATAATATAATATAATATATTGTATATACATATAATATTGATAATATTATAATATAATACAATATAATACTAATAATTATAATATGATATTATAATTATATAGTTTATATTACATGTAATATTACTAATAATATTACAGTATGTTATAGTACAATATAGTGATATATAATACTAATATTATGCTATGGTAATAATATATATTGTATTTACATACTACTTCGGGGTGAGAAGGGTGGCATATAAATGTTGTAAATAAATAAATAAAAGTTCATTCTGCTTAATGCTTGCATTCTTAGGTCACCCCTGTGGCAGGAGCAGATAAACAAACTATAGTGATATCCAAACCTGGTAAGAGCTCGTATCCTGGCTTGTTTCACTCACAACAAGCTGAGAAGAAGCCATGGTTTGTTTTGGGTTATACTTCTGCCTTGTTGGGGGATGTGTGCTAGCTCCTGCCAGACTTGGACATCATATTAAACTATGGACTGGTTTTGCTTCACCATTCTCAAAGCAAGGGGAAGTGGGCAGGCAGCGTGCTTTAGAACATCCACACTCTTACATAGTAAGAACTGTGTTAAATCTTACTCCAAAACAGAAGCAATGTTAAAAAACCTACTCCCTGTTTGTTTTCTTTATCTTTTCAATACAATGTATCAATGGATTTCTGTAATCTCAAATGTACTCAATTATCTCATGCTGACTGGAATTGCACTCCAGTAAGCAAGCAGTGTAAAAAGCACAGATCTTTCAAAAGAAAGGAAATATTTAATATGTCCATATAAAACACATCACCTTCTCATTTTTGGTGGCTTCACCCATGTTCAAATTTTTCAGGTGACAGCAATAAACTTCTTTACCATGTCTATACTCCCAGAGCCTCAATGTACAATCCTGAGGGTGTTAAGAAGAAACAGATTACTCTCAGTTCAAGAACATTAAAAAGTAGCTATGATTTTCATTCACTTTCTTTCTTATGCATATGAAATGTATGCATACACCCCTGCACATGTATGTACAGAAATCATGGACAAGGTCCTACAGCAAATTACAAGTATCTGCCAGCAGAGATAAGTTACAGAGCCTGTATGCTGATTCCATGTAGTGCAATGTATGTAGATCAATGATCAATGCACATGGCTGACAATTTATTGTGCGACTGCAATGTGCAAAAGCAGGAGAGACAGGCAATATATATTCAATGTGCGATCACATGCATAAGGGTCCTACAAGTACAACTCTGCTTCAGCTGGATATGACTGCTGTACATACTGCTATACATACAAATAAATCTGAATATGTTGCACAAATTATGTCTCCATATGTCATGAACACGATGTCCACTGCAGACACGTACACACACACTCTCTGCTATCAACTGTAAATTGAAAACACACTTGCAACAATGTGTTTTAAGAACATTTGGTGTGCTTTCATTTTATACTATATTACAACTATCTGAGGTTTCCTGGTGGCACAGTGGATTCAACCACTCAGCTGCTGAACTTGCTGACCGAAAGGTTGGTGGTTCAAATCCCAGGAGTGGGGTGATACCCACTGTTAGACCCAGCTTCTGCCAACCTAGCAGTTTGAAAACATGCAAATGTGAGTAGATCAATAGGTACCACTTCTGTTTGAAGGTAACGGCGCTCAATGCAGTCATGCTGGCCACATGATCTTGGAGGTGTCTATGGACAACACCAGCTCTTCAGCTTAGAAATGGAGATGACCACCATCCCCCAGAGTCGGACATGACTAGACTTAATGTCAGGGGAAATCTTTACCTTTACAACTATATGTGGTTTGAAACATATCTGAGGCAACAGATTCTCTCTGTTCTCCCTAAACCAGCATATCCAGCATATTCAACACCCAGAGCTATCATCTTTAACACCCCAATTTGACAGAATTATTTTCAATAAGAACCTTTGACACAAAATAACCCTTAAATATAACAAGTGGTCACATCTTATTTTTTTCAATATCATAATTTCCAAGCCTTCTTTTTAAAGGCTTCTGTTATTATTTTCAAACAATAGATTTGCTGTTTGAAAAATACTGCCATGCTTTCACTTTACAGTTAAGTTTTAATTACCCAAGACTACAAAACCTAAATGAGTAAGAGAATAAATAACCTAAATACACATCCTATGCATACGCGTGAAGAGCCAGGCTAAACCCATCAGCAGAAACACAACACTGCTAGCCCTCAAATCTCCTGTTCTTAGTTCTCCTCTTCCTCTTTCTCCCTTTCAACTTCCTGTTCAATGGGTCCATACCTGAGTTTCCTCCCTGCAAGGGACAATACCATTGCTGCTGTTTGGGTTCATTACAATATTTCTATAGATGCTGATTCTATTCCTGCACACAAAAGCAAGAATAGAAGCACCCTCTCTCACTCACGAGTTCATGCTCCATTGCTTTACCAATTAACTGAGTGTGTGCTTTCTATCCCATGAAAATCTGCTCTCAATCTCAGGCTCTTGGAAGTGGGTGCTGGGTGTTTTAAGTTTCTTATAACTGGCTGGCTGGCTGAGAGGGCTGGCTGAGCTGAGTACATGTGCAAATAGGAATGAGAAAATGTAATAGGAAGATTAGTTTTGTGGTTGCACTAGGAACATTATATAAAAATCACAAATCAATAAACAAGAGAGGGAGAATAAACAGAGGAGGAGGTGAGGAGAGTGAATTTGTGCAGGTAACAGAGTTTAAGAAAGGAGCAGAAAGGCATTACTTAAACTGGAAGGGGAAGGTCTGGGTTGTGACCAGGCACAGTGTTGCTCTGAGTGTCTTTGGAGACAATGTGCCACTGTTCTAAATAATCCTAGATTTCTCAGAAAAGTGGTGAGACAAGATAGACAAGAAATCACATTTTACTCCCTGCAAGGGGAAAATGCATTTTTATAAGAAACTTCGTAAAACACTAAGTATATACAGTCTCAGACTTCATACATACCCCAGAAGCTGATAAGAGAAGATCTGGATAGTTAGGAATGACAAATATTCTGCTGACAAATCTAAGAGAAAAATGGAAAAATACAAGATTTTTAGAGGCAAACAAGAGATATCAGAATGGAACATCCTTGGCACATCACCATGGCAACACTGGATTGGGTCAATATCTTATCTTTTGTGCGGGGGATAAAGCCCAGGAGATGAATGCAATTTCTGTGATAAGAAAGGTTACGCCATTCATTTATGCATGTCTGTGATTAAATTTAGCTAGAAAAGATTGACATAACATTTCTGTTTTCTTTCATAGGGTTTTTTTTTTCTAACAGAGTTAGCTCAATAATGAGTTAGCTAAGGTACAGCTTGGTTGAACAATGAGCCCTACCCTGAAAGCTGTACATGGACACCTTCTTTTGAGTGCATTACACCTTTAGTTGGTTTGTGGTAAACCCTTTTGAACTTAAAACCACCAGAACATTCAGAAGAAAATATGTTTCCCATCGGATGTTCTTAACTGGGACTCTAATCAGATCCCAGCATTGGCCATGCTGATGGGCTTGGATGGAAGTCCAACCATATCTGGAGGACCACATGATGCTCACCTCTGGTTTATGGTCAACTGTATCAGGTTGGGCTTTAGAGTTTGCCATTAAACAGTTTCTTGCTGTAGCTCCCCCAAAAGAGTAGGGGTGGAAAAAATGAATCCATTACACCTGCACACCAAAGCAATGGGAGGAATTCAAGCAGCCTCCACATGATGGCTGCCAGTGTGCACAAGCCTTAATGCAAAGGGACATTGGAAACCAAACAGAGAACACAAAGGTAGCATGGGCTTTTTAAAAAAATGGAAATTGTAATTAAGAGACTCTGCCACTCCCCCACTTCACTTTTTTCGAAGAGTGAACCGTCTCAGCAAGCCAACCTACCAACCTATTTATTTATTTACAGCATTTATATTCCGCCCATATCACCCCGAAGGGGACTCAGGGCGGATCACAGAACACATACACGGCAAACATTCAATGCCATGAAACGGACAGGACAGACAACAGATAGAGGTATTGTGTTGGCATTTTCTCAGCTTCGGCGTCCTGGAGGTTGTGCTCAATTCTGGCCACAGGAGGGTGTTCCATCCTCTATGACAAAGCCTTGATCACAGACTTCCTCCTTCCTTTGATCATTGGTATTTTCTGGTATTTCTTTTATAAAAAAAATACCTCCCTGCTTAAGCGGTGCCTAATTTCTCTACTCACAGCTGTTTTCAAACCTCTTAGGTGGACAGTAAGCTGGGTTGAAAGTCAGGTGCTCACCCTAACACGGGCTTTGAACTGTCAACCTTTCAATTGGTAAGATTTATTGCTGCTGGTGATTAACCAGCTGTCCTCTCACACTCTTAGGCTGAAAGTGTGAGAATGGACAGCTCCTACATTGCAATCGGTTCCCATTCCTGCTGCCTTTAGAAAGGTGTAGAGATGCATTGTTTCAATGTGGTCTTTAATCACTGCATTGACTTCAGTGGTTTTGATGTTTAAATAGACTTTTGTGATCTCTGTTAGTTGCCCTGAGTGTTGTTTTTTAATAATAAAAAGAAAGGTGGATTAAAATGCAGTTAAATAACTTAACAGACTCAAAGGTATAATATAATAGCACATTGGATCCAAAACTTTGGTCCTAGAAGAAGAAAAAAATCCAAAAGATTTGATCTTGAAATATGTGAAGAAGGGAAAAATCTATGACCTCCTTAAATAGTTTATTTTGAGGTCTCCCATTTCACCTACACTTACTCTGTGTGTCCCAGGCAAAAGGAGACAATGTTATGCGGTGCTCTAGTCAAACTAACTCGTATCTTCTCATCACGGTCAGCAGTTATGATGTACTGGTCATTGGGACTCAGCACCTAATAAGACAACCCAAACGTCATTATGAAACAGACAGTGAGAGTTTGAGGCATGCAAATATCTAAAATAATCACAGGCAACTATACATTTTTACAAGAGTTACATATACAGGCTTGGAGACACATTCACTAAAGTTGTTACTACCTTGCAACAATTTCATGATTCCTACATTCACAATTGCCTATTATTAATTTATAGCATGCAATGGGCCTGGAAACCTTTTTATTAAAAGTATATCTCAGTTAATGAAGCACAGGCAGTCCCCAAGTTACGAACAAGATGGGTTCTATAGGTCTGTTCTTAAACTAAATTTGTATGAATGTCAGAAAAGGTACATTTTATTGTTTATTTACTACATTTACCCTAAAAAGGGGACTTGGAGCAGGCTTACAAAAAGTGTAATTCCAGATAGATAGATAGATAGATAGATAGATAGACAGGGCATGTTGGACAGCATAGGGAAAGGTTAACACCCCTGTGGCATTCGTTTTGCTGTCTGTGCCCCTGTTCAGAAGATTTCACTTCACTTTCTGTCCCTTGATAATTGAATTTTGGAAAAAAAATATAGCTTGATGTGGATACAAGGATTGGTGATAAAGCTTCCAAGAGTGGATTTCCTTTCCTAGAGATAGATTTCTCTCACTTCCTGTTGTCTCATCTCTGTTCTTAACTATGAGTCATGTGTAAGTCAGATCTTTGTAACTCGGAGACTGCCTGTAGATGTATTCCTGAGCATGTATTCTTGATTAATCTATGCCCGTGCATATCACTAACGGGATGAAAGCCTCAATGTGTTAGCGACAATCTGGCTTTCTCTAATAACTTTCTAAAGCGAATGCTGATGCCCAGTATTCACCCTCCTTTGAACAGGTCTGTGCCAAAATTGTTGTTCCTATGCCACCCAATTTCCAAAAACGGCCTGCACAGTTTGATGTTTTACCATCCTTGTGGGAAACTTCTCTCATGTCCCCGCATGAGAAGTTGGAGATGACAGATGGGAGCTCCCCGGATTTGAACCGCTGACCTTTCGGTCAGCAGTCCTGTGGGTACAAGAGTTTAAACAAACACTTTGTCTATAGGCCAGGGGAAGTGAAGGTTTGGCCCTTCAGATGTTGATGAACCAAAGAACTCCTAAATTCAAGAGAAAAGCTTGAAAATATTTGAATAAAGATAATATTGAGACATAAATTGCTCACATACCACATCCAACAGAAGAGACAAGTGCCCAAGTTCAATTGTTCCTGGGTTTTCTGGTTCTGTGATAGAGTAAGAATAGACATCGCCAGATTTGTCAGCAACCAGGATCTTATCTTCTGTTGATGTTATAACCAGGGAAGTACATCTTCTAATGACAGATCTAAGAAGAAGAACTGACACAATTACACTCTAAAACATATTTTTGGGAAGGGCGTGTTTTGATGGTAGATCATTCTAACTGATCATTCCAATCTGGGAAGGCTTCATTCCAATACATTATGTGTGGAAATATTCAGCAATTGAAATAAATGGATAATTGTATTTATGGGTTGCTGTGAGCTTTTCGGGATGTATGGCCATGTTTCAGTAGCATTCTCTCCTGATGTTTCACCTGCATCTGTGGCTGGAATCCTCAGAGATTTTGTTGGCAGCGAAGCAAGTGGACTGTATATATACTTATGGAATGTCTAGGATGGCAGAAAGCACCCTTGTCTGTTTGAAGCATGTGTGAATATTGCAATTAGAAAGCTTGAATAGCACTGAGTAGCCATGAAGCTGAAAAATCAATCAGTGAGGATATGTGCATAGAGGTACCCTGGCCTTTGTTGCCTGGGGACATCCTCTGATTGTGAGGTGTTAACTGGCCCTTGGTTGTTAGTTGTCTGGACTTCTCCTGTTTCTGAGTGGTGTTATTTACTTACTGTCTTGATTGTGTTGTTGTTTTTTAATACTGGTAGCCAGATTTCATTTATTTTCATGGTTTCCTCTTTTCTGTTGAAATTGTTCATGTGCTTATGGATTTCAATGGCTTCTCTGTGTAGTCTGACATAGTATCAGCCACAAATGCAGGCAAAATATTAGGAGAGAATGCTGCTGGAACATGGCCATGCAGTCCAAAAAACTCACAGCAATACGTGATTCCTGCCATAAAAACCTTTGACACCACAATTTATTTATGTGATTCTCATCCCTCTAGTCTACTAGAATAGAGGATTACAAATCCTACAATTAAGCTTCAACAGTTAAAGACAGATTTATTTATCGTGTCATCAGCAACCAGACATCAGCAACCAGGCAGTGACATCTCCAGCCCATCCCTTGTTTGGGTATCAGCCAGCACGTCAACGACTTAAATCAAGAAATAGTTTTCTAAGATCTACAGAGACACAAGCTGGAACACCCCAGCAAGTGAGAGTCCAAAAGTGGCAGGCTCAAACCCAGAACCTCAATCAATGGCTGATACCAAATGAGAGACTCCCCCCTGGGCACACAGAAAACTGGGTGACTTGGAAGGCGCTGAACAGACTGCGCTCTGGCACCACGAGATGCAGAGCCAACCTTCAGAAATGGGGCTGGCTACAAAGTGGAATCCACGACATGCGAGTGTGGAGAAGAGCAAACTACAGACCACCTGCTGCAATGCAACTTGAGCCCTGCTACATGCACAATGGAGGACCTCCTTGCGGCAACACCAGAGGCACTCCCAAGTGGCCAGATACTGGTCAAAGGACATTTAATCAACCACCAAGCTTGCAAATTCTGTGTTTTGTCTATTTGTTTGTTTTTGTTAAAAATGTAATACAAGTTAAAGACAGATAAGCAGTTCAGATAAAAGCAAGTTAAATTTTAAATTACATCAGATAATAAAATATACCTTTTAATTTAATAATAAAGATTTGAAAAAACTGTTGAAAAGTGTGACACCAAACCATTAAAAGTTCTTCCTCAATAGCCAGTCAATTGTCAAAAGCCCACTTTCACAAAAGGTTTTTGTCTTCTAGCAGAAGGATAAAGCATAGACACAGAATAAAAAAGACCTTCCCAAATATGGTAGCCACTCTCCAGAAGTATTCAGACAACAATTCTCATCAAAGTGGTTCAGATGACAGGAATTGTAGTCCACCACGTCTGGAGGATGTCAAGTCGGGGAAGGCTAGATAGAACAAACCTTCTGCCATCATGAAAAAAAATAGATTGTTTATACAGGCATGGGTATAAACAACCATCATGGAACTAGGCCCTAAGATGATAAATCAGATTGTTCCTTCAGATATAGTTCTGAATCCATCTACATTTCAAAAGCAGCTTGCAATGCAGCTCAAAGAACTTCTAATTTTTCTAGACTGGGCTTCAGCCACAGCTCTCAGAATGGCTCACAATTAAAATACAAAACATGAAAAATAAAGAGCAACACTCAAAAAACGGGAATTCCAGACAGGAAACAATCGAGGCCAGCTAATACCTCCCAACAAAGGATCCCCCCAGGCAGGAAGCAGTCAGCCTTTGAAGCTGCAAGGCCACTGAATACTAATCAAGGTGGACAATTGCAACATTCACAGCTGCATCCAACAGACAAGAGTTCTTTCTCCAACCCTGGACATTCTACATACATATAAACCCCACTTGCCTAGTTTCCAAAAGACCTCACAACCTGAGCATGCCAGCCATACAAGGTCGTGCTCTCATTACCGCATTCCTCAAAACTACATTTGGCGGTGACGAGAGACAGGGCCTTCTCAGTGGTGGCCCCTTGGCTGTGGAACGTCCTCCCTAAAGATATTAGATTGGCCACCTCCCTTTTAACATTCTGGAAAAAAGTCAAGATGTGGTTTTTTTAACAAGAGTTTGCAAATGCAGAGTAACTGACACAGGAAAATGGAATGGCTAGACAATGAGTCCAGATAACATGTTTAACAAGGAGACACTATGAATTTATATTTTAGTGAACTCTTTAGTTTTTATTATATGCTATGTTTTTAATTGTATTTATGACATTGTAGGCATTGATTTTTGCCCTGTTAACTGCCTTGAGTCGCCTAAGGGCTAAGAAAGGCGGTATACAAATATAGTAAATAATAAATAAATAGAGATGGGGGCAAAACGTCAAGAGAGAATGCTTCTGGAACATGGCCATACAGCCCAGAGAACTCACAGCAACCCAAAACACAAAACTATTATCAGGTTAACAAACAACCCAGAACAAACAGCTAAAACACATGTGATTTTTTTTCTTGAATCTATTTCTTAGCTTTAAAAATTCACACCCAATGCCTCTTTTAACCTAAAGCCTTTGGTGAATTGAGAAAGAAATCAAGTGTGGTAAGATTTTGGTCAGGAAGAACAGGGTGACTTGGACACTCACGTCTCTAGTAAGCTGTAAGAAATGACAAAATAAAATCAAAAGTTTATATGAACAGCTGTTCCCACTGTTCGTATTATATTATTTTTCACACACCTTTCTTTCCATACCTTATACTAAGACATTCCCAAGCAGGCTTTGTGCGAAAAAGAATCAGTTGTTTGTTGTCATCAGTCAGAGAAAAATATGTTCCTGATGCAGAAAATGCACAGGCGAGGATATCATGACTTGCTTTACCTGATGACTTTCCATCTTTTCTTAAAAAATAAAATAAAGAGAAGAAAAGAAAAGAGAGAGAAAGAGAGAAGAAATTACTTCAGGTCCCATCCATTCAAAGTGAAATGACTTCTAAATGTCAAGAACAGGAACTGCTGCTAATGTTAGGGCAGTACCAGTACTATCGGAAAGCCTATATGTGATGTGATGTGATTATATATATATATATATCTCCATTAGTTCACTGTAAATTGAGAAAAACATTTATAAAGGCAAAACTTTCGTACAAATAATTCGGGCCTTGATTCATCTTTATCTGTTACTAAACACCTCTAAATGAGATAGCAATTAAAATTATATTTCAAGTAAAGCAAGTTTTTTTCAGTCTCACCCTTGCTTTTCCTGAGGATTCTTGTTGGCAGTGGCACAGTCATAAACAAAAATATCATCATGGCTGGAAATTAGAAAAAAAGATGCAGCAGGTCAGTATTTTTTCATCATTTGTGCTACGTTTGAGCCCTTTTCACCCCCAAAACTCCTAAATTAATAACACCATGTAACAAAATTTGAAAAAAAAACTGTTCCTGGTTTGAAGGTGTCATTTCCTGTTTAATTGTGCACTATTTACTTTGAAAGTAGTTGTTACACCCCAGAAATTTCATTTTGTCACTGCAGGATGTCCCACGAAAACAAAAGTTTTTGCAGTGTAATAAACTTTTCCCATGCTTTTATGATAGAACTAATTAGGAGATGACATTTACAACCTAGGAACAGAAATCATGTTACACAGTGCAATCCATCCTTGCTTTTTATTACAACATCAGTATTGTAACTCCCTGTTTGGCATAGGTCTGCTCATGCAAAGCAGGTGAACATAGCATTGAATGAAACATGCAGAATCACAGGATGTCTTAAACCTACATCTGTTGATAAACTCTACAAGCTAGCTGGCACTGCCCCCCCCCCCCATGTGCGATAGAAATTGCTGCTAAATGTGAAAGAAATAAGGTTGAACACTGTGAAAGCCATCCACTACATGGCTACCAGCCTCCCCTCAATAGACTGCAATCAAGGAGCTTTATGAGAACTACCACTCCTCTTGGCGTCCCTCCAGCAACAGCAAGGGTATCCCTCTGGGCAGCTAAATTAGGAAATCCCAACTGGATGCCCCCCCCCCCCGTGAGGGTCTTCCTCCAGGGGCAAACCAAGAATGGGCAACTTGGAAGACCCTGAACAGACCCAGAAGTGGAGTGGGCAGATCAAAAGACAACCTGGCAAAATGACACTACCTAGAAGAATCCCACACTTTATGTGACCGTGGAGCAGAACAGTCATCTTCGCATGTATGCTTGTCCACTGTGCCCTGCCTCATGTACAGAGGAGGAATTGTTGGAGGCTACAGACAATGCCATTGCTGTTTCCTATTTTTGGTCAAAAGATATTTAGCCGCCTGCATTCCTTCTATTTTTGTCAGTTTTATACTAATTTATGCAATGCTTTTGATATGAAATAAATAAATAGGTATTGTAACTTGGAAAACAGCAGGGTACACATAAATACATCTGCTATGGCCTCCAGTATATTTTCCATATATAGATATATGGATATAGATTGCATCGGCAATGTGGATGTAATGCAAATTGGCCACCATGTAATGCAATTTGGTTCAATACTGTGGAATCACGGGAGTTGTAGTTTTGCAAGGTCTAACGCCTTCTCAACCAAAGCGCGGTTGCCTCACCAAAGTACAACTCTCAGGATCCTATAGTACTGAGCCATGGCTATTAAAGCGGTGTCACTGCATATATTCTACAGCAGGCCTGGGCAGACTTGGGCCCTCCAGGTGTTTTGGGCTTCCACTCCCACCATTCCTCACAGCCACAGGCCCTTTGCTTTTTCCCCGCTTAAGCGGCTGAGGGGAAAAAGCAAAGGGCCTGTGGCTGTGAGGAATGGTGGGAGTGGAAGCCCAAAACACCTGGAGGGCCCAAGTCTGCCCAGGCCTACTCTCCAGTATAGATGAGGCTGCAGTCTAACCCAGAGCCCCTCGCCTCCACGCTGCCCACCTGGGCTCCTTCAAGGGGGCAGCCAGGAGCCTCGTCCCGCCGGTGAGCGCCAGCAGGCCTCCGTGGAGGGCCAGCCCCGGAGGGGGATTCGCGCCACGGGTCGCCTCTGCCGCCTTCTCCATCGCGCCCACGTGGAAGGACAACAGAGGCCGGCGTCGCCGGGCGAGTGACGTCATGGGACAGCCTGCCGGAGGAAGCCGAGAGGCTTCGGAAAGACCCGGCGCGCCAAAGAGGTGCGTCTATCGCGTGCGCACCCCCTTCCGGTATGATCCGAAATTGGACTTGGCCCAAGAAAGCTCGGTTTGTGTACCAAAAGGAACACCTCTCATGATTTTTTCACCAGTTTTTTTTTTTTGTAAAGAGACAAGAGTGTCACCCACACCACAGAGCAGTGGTTCTCAACCTGTGGGTCCCCAGGTGTTTTGGCCTACAACTCCCAGAAATCCCAGCCAGTTTACTAGTTATCAGGATTTCTGGGAGTTGAAGGCCAAAACATCTGGGGACCCACAGGTTGAGAGCCACTGCCATAGAGTTAATGCAGCCTGACACTCCACTTTCACTGCCATGCTTTATAATCCTGGGAGTTATAGTTTGATGAAGCACCAATCCTCTAGGGCAGAGAAACCTTGAAAAAAAAATACAGCTTCCTGAATTCCAGCGCACTGGGGGCCCTTCCAGACAGAAAATCCTACAATATCTGCTTTGAATTGGGGGCCCTTCCAGACAGGCCCTATATCCCAGGATCTAATGCCAGGTTTTCTGTTTACCCCAGATTATCTGGTAGTGAGGACTCATAAAGCAGAAAACTTGGGATAAATTCCTGGGATTTAGGACCTGTCTGGAAGGACCCTGGAGACCCTTCAACACAGCCCTATAGCCCAGAATTTCAAGGCTGAAAATCCTACTTTATCTGAGTGTGAACTCATATAACTCAGTTCAAAGCAGATAATGTGAAATTTTCTGCCTTTATATTCTGCGATATGGTGCTGTGTGGAAGGGCCCTGTGTTATCTGAGGGCCCTTGAACACAGCCCTATACCCCAGAATATCAAGGCAGAAAATCCCACATTATCTGAGTGTAGACTTAGATAACCCAGTTCAAAGCAGATATTGTGGGATTTTCTGCCTTGATATTCTGGAATATAGGCCTGTGTGGAAGGGCCCTATGTCCACACTGCCATATATTCCAGTCCAAAGCAGATAATGTGGGATTTTATTCAGTTGTGTGGAAGGGGCCTCAGTTCTTGCCAATTTAATGCAAGAAAATCTGACTTGATAAAAGAAAGATATTGCCAAAAGTGTTGGTTCATTTCTAATGTTGTGAGTGTTACTGAGCTTTAACTTTCAAGAATGAGCAATGCACTGTCCCATCTTTGTTAAGATTTGTAATGAATATGTACATTTATAAACCAGAATATCAAGGCAGGTAATCCACAATATCTGCTTTGAACTGGATTATCTCGGCCCATATTGCCATATGATCCAGCTCAATGTGGATTTTATACAGCTGTGTTGAAGGGGCCTGAAAAAGGAAAGGGCCTTTCCTGGATCTACCCTGACCCTATAAATGCAGTTTGAGGCCCCTTCTACGTGGCCATATAAAATCCAGATTATCTGATTTGAACTAGATTATATGCCAGTGTAGCAGAGGCCAGAAACTAGATGGTCAGGGTAGACCAGGCATGGGCCAGCTTCAGCCCTCCAGGTGTTTTGGACTTCAACTGCCATAATTCCTAACAGCCACTGTCCAAAACACATGAAGGGCTGAAGTTGGCCCATGCCTGGTATAGACCCATGCAATGCAATTTAATTGGACTGAAAAATTATACCTGAAACAAAGTATACATACTGTTGAAAAGTGTCACGGTCTCAACCACCCACATAGATAATTATGAAGTGTTTTGGTAAGAGATGCTTGACCTATACAAAGATAAGCACCACCACCACGCCCCTTACAGGCTGCATCTATACTGTATTATTGATGCACTTCAACACCCCTTTAATTGCCATGGCATCAAGGGAGGTTTTTCAAGACCTTTCACCTTCTCCGGCAGAGAGTGTTGTGGTGCTTCACCAAACTCTACATTGAGCAATGGCAGTTAAAGTGGGGTTAAACTGCACTAATTCCACAATGTAGAATTCAACTCTCGCCTGCCAACCTTACAGAAAAGAAATGAACAATTGTATTTATTCATCTGCAATCTTTAAGCTGCTTTCGCAGGCACTGAAGGAAGAGGGAAACCCCTGCAGCAAGAAAGGGTCGCTTTTGAGGGACTCTGGACTAGTCATGTTCAGGGAAAGGCCACAGATTCAGGCGGAGCACTTAAGAGGCGGGACCTTTGTTCTGTGACTGAGGTTGCAACGGGGAAAATTTTAATGGGACACCAAGATGGCGGCTTCTCTGTTTATTCTCTGCGGTCGCGCAGCACCGTTCAAGGTAATACAGGAGGAGGCAGAGAGGAGAACAGGGCTCTTTTGTATCACTGGAGGCCCCTCCACGCAGGCATATAATCCAGGATATCAAGGCAGAAAATACCACAATATCTGCTTTGAACTGGGGGCACTTCCACACAGCCCTATATCCCAGATATAGTCAATAGTAAGGGCATCTAGGGTGCTGTGAGTTTTTCGGGCTTATGGTAATGTTCCAGTAGCATTTTCTCCTGACATTTCTCTAGCATATGTGGCTGGCATCTTCAGAGGTAATATGCCAGTAAGGGCATCGGCCTAGAAGTAGCCTGGCCTTTGTTCACTTTGAATTGTTTATGGCCTGGAGACATCCTTTGTCTGGGTGGTGTTCACTAGGCCTTGGTTGCTTGCTGCATTGAGACCGCCTGTGTTTGGGGGTGTTTATTAGTTGCAGTCTTGATCCTGGTGTTTTTCAATACTAGTAGTCCAATTTTGTTCATTTTCATGGTTTCTTGTGCTTGTGGATTTCAGTGGCTTCTCTGTGTAGTGTGACAAAATGGTTGTCATAGTGTTCCAGAATTTCAGTATTCTCAAATAACATTCTGTGCCCAGTAACTTCTAGGCAGATACCCTCACTATTGACTATGCAATCTTCTTAGGCCCCTTCTACACTGCCATATAAAATCCAGATTATCTGCTTTGAACTGGATTATTTGCCAATGTAAACTCCTATAATCTCAATTCAAAGCAGATTATGTGATTTTATAATCAGGATTATATGGCAGTGTAGAAGGGGCCTCAGTTACTCATATGCTAATAGAGGGATCCCACTCAAAACTTGCAAATCAAGTTTGCGAACAGCACCCTTCACATTTGGTTAGTAGACATTGGATCTTTCTCCCACCCTGTATGTTCTACAGGTATATATACTCTACTTGCCCTAACACCACCAGATCCTCTGAAGATGCCAGCCACAGCTGCAGGCAAAATGTCAGGAGAAAAGGCTGCTAGAACACGGCTACACAGCTGCACATATAACCACACAACACTCCCACTCTGAACAGATATTTGGAAACATTTTATCAGATTCCGGTTTCACTGTGTGGATGACTAAACTGAGGGCCATTCCACATAGCCCTTTATCCCAGAATATCAAGGTAGAAAATCCCACAATATCTGCCTTGAACTGGGTTATCTGAGTCCACACTCAGTTAATGTGGGATTTTCTGCCTGGATGTTCTGGGATATAGAGCTGTGTGGAAGGGCCCTGAGGCTGGATCTACACTGCCATATACTCCAGATTATCAAAGCAGATAATCTACATTATCTACTTTGAACTGAATTATATTACTCTTTACTGCCATATAATCCAGTTCAAAGCAAATAATCTGGATTTTATATGGCAGTGCAGATGTGGCCAGAGGCTCCTTCAACACTGCCTCTATATCCCAGGATCTGATCTCAGATTATCTTTTTAGCCCAGATTTTTTGGCAGTGGAGAGTCATATATCAGATTTAAATCAGATAATCTGGGATCAGATCCTGGGATATAGGGTAGAGTAGAAGGGGCCTCACTTCTAGGGTTGAAGCCAGGAGGGTGATTACATTTACAATATAACCTGGTTTCTAACCACTCTGTGGCTTTTTTTTTTTTTACCATTTCCCAGAGAGATATGCACCAGTGCTCTAGAGGCATAGGAGATGGGGGGAAAGAAGAAGTGATAGTTTGGAATAGAGATAATCAGTTATCCTTTCCAGGGGGTAAGTTTGGCTCCTGTTGCTCAGCCATGCCCTTGAGGCATTTTTGGCAGCCTACTTGCTCATCCTAAATTCTCCAACCTTTCTCAGAAAGACAAGTATTTGCAATGCATTCCACATTCTGCAGATTCTTTTTCATCATGCAATGTGGTTTACATTTAGAGGCTTGCTGATGTGCATTAAAGGGCTTAAATTGGACTTTCCTGCAACTTTGCTTAATGTGCTTTACTGGCCTTTATTCACTTTGCAGCACACTTTAGCACTGTGCGTTCTTTAGCAGCAGTAGTTTCAAGTTGGCTTAAAGCTGCATTAAATGGTTGTACAGGACAGCGCTTACAGGTTTATTTATCATATGCCTTTCCTAAATCTTACAGACTTTATCACTGCAAGTATGGGGGCTTCGAAGTTTACCTTCTGCTGTTTCTCTCTGCACCAAACCAGAGGATTCTAAAAAAGTCTCTAAAAAAAGTGAGATGCCTATTCTTATTAAATATCATTACTAACTATAAATGATTAGAGCAGAGCTTTCCAAATGTTTCATCTTTTTAGACATCTAACATTTTGCAACACAGTAATTCAGTTTTGCTAGCAAACCAGAGGCTAAACAAATTTCTTGTAAGAGATATATACACATAAATAAATTGTAATGACGAAAATGTATGGGGGCATAGCATATCTCATGAAAAAAAATTTATTTATATTTTTAAAAGTAAATGATTTGTAAGATAACATGTGTTTGCTGCATAAAATGCATGCAAGTTGGTATTGCTTATTTCATAGATTCAGGTTTCTCATTATATTTGCACAGTACACCCACACATTGCAGCTGATACATTAACATGTTGCAACACACTATTTAGAAAGCTCTGGATTAGACGCTAATGTTCTATTTGTAGAAATGTGACAGTTTTGCAGCTTAATGATCCTTAACTGGAATGGACAAAGTGTGGGACTCGGGTGCTTTGGACAGCAACTCTAAGCATTCCTCATAATTGGCTATACTGGCTAGGCCTGCTAGAAGTTACGATCTGACTGCAAAGTACAATTACAAAAGCATTATTACAGAAACAAATTGGTTAACTGAATGCTAAATCCACTATGCATCCTCTGAATCTACCATATATGAACATCAAATTATATTCAAACACGAACTTCAAATTGTATCCAAACAATGCAAGAGTTAACCAATGAATTACAAAAACACAGTATGGAATGGTTAATCAAACTGTAAATTGCAAACATCAGATATCTGCAAAATATAGTTGAGAGCTGATTGATACAATTTTAGAATCACAGACACCTTAAAGGGCCAGACTCAAAAGTATACCCATTTTCAATATATCTTCTCAGTAAACTTCTTGTTAGGCTGATAAAATTTGCAAACAAAATTTCAAGCATAGACTAATTAGGAAAATTCTAATTAAATCTTTTAATGGCGCTATATATTTTTGACTGGAGTTATACTTAAAAATGTACCTGCTCTGACTTACATACAAATTCAACTTAAGAACAAACCTACATAACTTGGGACTGCCTGTACTCCAAAATTATCCACCTGAATAGCTGAGAGAGTGCTTTCTGATGGTCAATGTAAACAACCTTTGTTTCATGCAAAAGTTATTAAAATACTGTTTAAAATTATCTTCAAAAGATATGAAACAAAAATGAATTTCGTGCTTAGACTTGCATCCCTTCTCCCAAGTTATCTTGTATTCATATATGCAATTACAGGTATTCCAAAATCTCAAAAAGTCTGAAATCCAAAACACTTTTGTTCCCAAGCATTTTGGATAAGGAAGATTCAACCTTTATACAGTATCATTCTGTATCGTGTCCAAAGCATTTCTAGGTTGTTCCAGTTCTCTTCAAATATCATTTCTAAAGCATAGTCTTTCACAAGCTATCCATTTAAAGAAGAAACAAGGAACGTTCCTACAATCACTATCACAGGGAGAACCCTTCACAGAAGCTTGTTAATAGAAACATGATAGCACTATGTAGGACCAAAAATATCCCAGGGAGAAAGAGTGGAAAACAAGCACAGGAATGGCACTTGTGTGATTTTTCTTCAGTTTCTAAGTAGAGGGAGAATGAGCATTCTGGAGGAATTTCAGTGGGAGTTGCTTCCCCTCTCACAGCTGAAAAATGGAAGAGTTTTCAATCTCCAATAGCTTGAGATAAGGAAAATGGAGAGTGGTACCCAGATGAAGGGAAATTTCCTCAGAGTATTCTTATATTCATCTGTTTTAATTGAATTAATTTCCAATCCTTCTCAGAAAGGTGGAGAAAACTCTGATTTCTGAGAGTCAAATGTCTGCTGGTACATCTGAAGGACTACCAGAAATCAGATTTAAGATTAAGTCACAGATGCTGGTTATCTGGTTTACCTTGACCCCCGGGAGGCACATTTGTGTGTCCTAGCTAACCCTGCTCACAGGAAGCATCTCAGGTTTGCTTATGTGATGGGTTACTACCTGTACAGGGCTATGTCCTCAGTATCTTGGCTTCTCTGCTGGTGTTTACAAAAGTGTTAGTGGTGCCAGTAGTTCATCTGAGATTGTAGGCAGTATATTTTCTCCTGTATATTTGTCATCTACTAGGGAGGATGTGTGAACATCCATGGTTTGTCTAAAGTTTCATGGATTTGTAATCAACAGAGAGAAGAACCACTTGAATCCAATTCAGAGGGTCCAGCACTTGGGAGTTATTGTAGACCCAATGCTACCTATGCTTTTTCTGCCAGTAGACAGGAGGGAGGAGCTGCAGTTCCTTGTAAGGGTAGTATTGAATAATTTAGCATCAGAGTTGCATGTTGACCAGGTTGTTAGGCCTGATGATAGTACACATTGACTGATCTCTCTTCTTCTACTTTGTTTCCTTGGTTGTAGCAATGTATTGAGTTGTCTTATGAGCATAATTCCACACTGACTCTAGAAGGGATTCAGGCCCACTCCATTCATAGTGCTGCCACTTCTGAGGCCTTGAGCACAACAACTTCAGTGTTAGAGATTTAGAGAGTAGCAACTTCTGCTTCTCTTTTTTTCTCTTTTGTCAGACATTACAAAATTGACAAATTTGTTCCATCAGGCATGAACTATAACAAATTGTGTCCTTAGAGTAGGTTATTACCCACCTTGTTGATCACTTGATTTGGCTCCCCGCAAAAAGAATTAACTTTGGAACAGAGCACAAAGAAATTGGCCACCTAATGTACTTTAACTTATTTCCTATCTCACACTTTTCACAAATACTTGAAATGCTTTTCCAAATAAATATTTACATATAATTCCCATATCTCATATCTTTATGGAAATGGCTGATAATGTTGCTATCCTCCTGGTTATGTTAGAAGATTCTAAAGTTCCTCAGTGATGTTTTTAGTTTTTTTCCATAAAGTTAAAAAAATCATCATGTCAAACATAGTGGAAATTGAAAGCTGTCTGAATGTAAGGAGATGACAGACCACAGTATCAGTTTCAAACAGTGACAAAATAATGACAAACAATTCATATAATAGGAATGCATTATAAGAGTTTATTCATCTCTAGAAAAATCAAGTCAGGTGAGAAACCTTCGCTTGTTACATTCCCTGGCCATAAATATAGGGAAGTATATGTACAAATCTTCTGTGTTTTGACTCCCAGTTATTCAATTTTTTGATGATGGAATAGACACACAGCGATGACAAAAGTCTAGTAAAACAATTTTTCCCATGAGGAAATTCAGATTTGGTACAAAAATATCAAATATATTGTCTGCCAGTCTCATGTATTTGTTTGTGGAAGCTGAAATCCTTTAACTCAGCCTGTAGTTGTGGCATGTAGATTTGGCAGCAATGGTTTCTGGCTTTTTTCCTATTGTAACAAGCCAGAGAAGCAACCATTGCTGCTTCAGGGTTTGCATATCACACAAATAAAACATATTGAATTGGAGGATGAAAGCAAACATGTGGGATTTTCTTGGTAAGAACGTACCTGCTGTGATGTCTGAATTTGCCCTATTCGAAGCAGTAGAAGTTTTACAGAAAATGCTCCCATACACATGGCAGTGTATTGGCACACAATAGTGGCTTGTCAGCTGATATATTTAAGTATCTCTGAGCTCAAATGTTCTCTTTGCTCCAAAATTATGGCTTGCTGTTCATTAAAAAATAGCTTAAGGGTGTTTCCAAGCATTCAGGGTTTAGAATTGTTTGCATTCAAGCTATTATGTAACTTTATTTATAACTTTTCACATGATCCTTTCTGAAATGTGGATGTAAATTTAATGGGAAGAAAATGATAGTGTTTCAAAAGAGTACAGAGCAGATAACATTTCATGCAGAATTTAGACATTTTAGCGGATTCTGGAAACTTGTCATCAGTATTAGCACTAATGTCTTGAGTGCTTGACGTATCATATCTAATATTCAGAGTATGTAAAGTACCATGTTAAGCCTCAGAACATATTTTCATGAATTAATATTTTTAGTTTTTAGTCATTCACTATACTTTTTATGTAATAATGTACATGTGTCATTATTCTGTAATCTCTCAGTGTCTGTCATCTCTATAACATTCAAAGCAGGAATGAGCAATGTTGACAGAACCAGGAGCCACTTTTTTCATGGTTGAAGCCTGTACAATTTATTTGTTCTTTAGTTTTTAGTTTGATGTTCTCTAGAATTAAAAATAAAATTCTCATTAAATATTAAATTAATTATAAAATAAGAAACTAGACTTACTAAACTGAGTTCTTCAGTAATTACTGTATTATAATTGTAATGATAAAGTATATGTACTGGGACACCTTTTAATTCTTAAAATTTATCTTGCTATGAATAGGGTGTCATGGTGGCAGTGGAATAGCAGGCCCATGGATTGCTTAAGAATGTGCAAATCTGGGGGTAAAGTAGCATAATGGTTTTAAAAAGCAGCAAAATGGGAAAGGAGTTTGTTGTCAACAAGAGAAATAATTCAAAGAGCATTAGCTAGAGGTCTACAGGAGCTGCATAACTTTCTTCTTGACTTTTTCATCTCAAATTGCTTTTGCCTTCAGATCTAAAGAAGAATGCCTGTTAACTTGCTGTCCCCTCCTTGATTGCCTACTGCTGGAAGAGTTGTACCTATCCACCACTAGATACACTGCACATCCTCCCAAATGGTCTTGTAGGGATTCTGAGACAAAATGCTGCATTTACGAGTGCTGTGTTTATATGCTATGCAGATTACATTCTCTCTGGGAATCTGTTTAAAAAGAAGTTGGGAAGTTCATTCAGCCCACGGATGCATTTGAAAAGGTTGTGAGGAGGACATTTTAGAGTAAATTGTTTGGCAGGGGTAGATATAATTCTTAACAACATGGACATTTCCCTTCCATGCATGTAAAGCATAGCTTAATCCTAGTCATGTCATAAGTCCTAGCACAACAGCCTCCCTGATTCACCTAAGATAGTAGCAGACTTAGTTTGGGGTTGATTTGAGACTCCTCCAAGTGGCAGCTTCCTTGATCCTATTCTAAGCAAGGATAAAGAACATGTGACTCTCCAGATAGACTGCAACTCATATCAAGCCTTAATAGTTAATTATGAAGGATGGTGGGCATGGTAGTTCCATGATATCTGGAGGAGTACTCATTCACCATCCTTTAAATCAATAACTATTCTATCTTATTTTTTACAAAGATGAATTTGTCAAATTTGTTTCAGTAGAATGTCTAGCAGTTCTGCTGGTCTTATATTTTCTGCTTATATCCTTAAAATATCTGTAAAAATGATTTATTTTTTTTACATTCCATCTACATGTCATTTGTACTTGGTGATTAAGTGTGATGCAAGAAGCATCGGCCACATTTTCTGAGAGCATGACATTCAAATAATAAATTCCAAATCTAACCAAAATGTGAAGATTTGTCTGGTTAGCAATTCAGTTTCCGATCTCTGCAATATAATCATAATCACACACTTCCCCAAGCTCTATTTTTAACATCTTTGAAAACATATTGTTGAAGGCTTTCATGGCTGGAATCACTAGGTTCTTGTGGGTTTTTTCGGGCTATAGGGCCATGTTCTAGAGGCATTTCTCCTGACGTTTCGCCTGCATCTAAGGCAAGCATCCTCAGAGGTAGTGAGGTCTGTTGGAATTAGGACAATGGGTTTATATATCTGTGGAATGGCTGGGATGGGGCAAAGAGCTCTTCTCTGCTGGAGCTAGGTGTGAATGTTTCAACTGACCACCAAAATGCTAATGAAGGTGGTCAGTTGAAACATTCACACCTAGCTCCAGCAGAGAAGAGCTCTTTGCCCCACCCCAGCCATTCCACAGATATATAAACCCATTGTCCTAATTCCAACAGACCTCACTACCTCTGAAGATGCTTGCCATAGATGCAGGCGAAACGTCAGGAGAAATGCCTCTAGAACATGGCCCTATAGCCCGAAAAAAACGCACAAGAATCTTTGAAAACATTGCTGTTAAGCACATGTGGGACTTTTAGTCTAGTCTGCAAATATTTTCCAATGTATGCTTTGAGCAAAATCAGTCTACTGTAGCAGGGATGGAAGAATAGTTAATATAAGATAATCCTATTTGTTAATCCCAGCTGGAATTAGACCCTTTAAATTAATTGTTGAATGATGGATCATCAAATAAATCCTGTTGATTCAATAGATCTATTCTACTTAAGGCTACCAACAGGATTCATGCCAAAATATATGTTTGTGCTTGTGTATATGTAGATTTAACTATCTTAAGACAGTTTTCTTACTCTCAGTATCTTCATCCTAATGATCAAAGAAGATTATCTAAGATCTGGAACTCTCTATATCATCTGTGGTCGTTATCATTTTTCAACTAGAGCCAATCTAGTAATGGGGGTACATAAAAAAACAAAAAACAAACAGAAGAAACACTACCATAGTCAGTTGTTGCTAAAATACAGCCATTAACTTTGAAAATACATTTTTGTAATTCATAATTATTTTTCTCAACAGTTAATGCAATGATTTTAAAGCTCAAAATGGGTAATTCTTTTCCTGTAATTTTTAAATACAACCTTCTCTTTCCTCATACATTAATGGTGACCAGCGCTAATGCTCCATGATGAGAATTTATTTTTTGTCGCTCCCTGAACTTCACAGCACGTACCCAGCTCCAGCTTTGTTCCCTGCTGACTTGTTTGCTTGATGCTTTTGAGTACTTTTGCCTAAGGCTCCTGCTAAGTGCACTCAGTACAAGGACTTCCCAGAAATGAATTAATTGGCCTAGCTTAAAACACAAATGTTATTACAGTTTTCTTAAGGTCAAGTGACACCAAATTGCAGATTGCCATGAGTTGATGGAGCCGATGCTTGACAGATCAAGGAAATGCATCAAGCGCATGTTATGGAAGAATGATCAAAGGCCCAGTTGGATAGAGTTTGGAACAAAGAAAGGATGGTTCAGGCAGCTATGGATTCAAGTAAAGGTCTTCTGAAGTAAGATATTCATAAGGCATAAGCTTGAAATGAGGCAGGTTGTGGAACAGGGATAAAACCAGTTTTCAAAGAGCTTGTTGAGTGGGTCTGTTTAGTATTAAAAGGGGGGGGGGGCTGATGATCTAGTGGCATCTTTAAAACTGATTTTTTAAACATGGGCTTTCATGAATTTTAGTCCATTGTTTCAGATGCACTGACGTTCATTCTAAAATAAATTAGTCAAGCTATAGAGGCAGTAAGAATGATCAGGTTGTTCTCTAACTGAAGCAGTAGACTTATCTCCAGCTTTGATTTTTCCAGTTCCCATTTTTCCACTGTTGTGGCCTAGTTTTCACAAGCAGAAGATCAAGGGAAATGATTTGATTATTTTATGCTGCATGCAAGGGTGTGTCTCATGTTCACATGTTTCTATTTGCAGAACAAAAATACTTAGAAAATAGATGAACTGGAGAGAAAGCTAAGCCAGAACCCTTCTTCCTGACATTCAATTCTCTGTATGTAAAGAATTAATTTGCGAGTACTAGGTGAAGGGGCAAGAGCCAGTTTGATGAAAAAATGGCTGGATGTGATTAGCAAAGAGCAAATAGACAACAATGATTTTCTTGGCCTGTGCAGCATTTTGATTCTTTCTAACATGTTTTACTAAAAGACACTGTATCACTTCTGAAATTTCCAATCCAACAATTAGCTCTTATATGATATGGGGAGAATTTTTTTTCCACTATTGAGATTTGATGACTGAGATCTTTTAGGGAAAAAACATCCTGGAGATTTTTCACAATCATAAGCAGATCAGTGTAGTCAGAAACCTTGTAACAAAGATGTATGTATTTCAAGACATGGCTGTATTAGAGCTTTCCTTCTGTAAGGCTTCAGCTCTTTGCTGAAATAGCCCAAATGCAAATGCAACACAGGCAGATGGTGGAGCAACAGTATTTTAATATATAAGGTCCATCAGGCATACATGAAACAATATGTGCTCCTCCCAAAATGTCCAAAGAGTCCTGGATTCAATTCCTACATTATATGGTATGCAAAATGTCCGGAAGGAGCCTTGGCCCTGTAAGGATTGCTGGTGCCCCCCACCTCCTAAGTCTGTGTACTTGAATACTTCCCATATTACATAGTACAGATTATTACAATGAGATGTTCTTAGGCTATAGCCCTACTTTAATTAATTGATGGAATTCACTGGATACGTCAGTAACCACTATAGTGTGGATGGCTTTCTAAAACAACCATCCTATATATTCATATATAACTCAAGTACTTTTAGTAAAAAAATTGATCCAAAAACCTGGGTCAATTTAGTCATAGGTCAATGTAGGCACTGTTCTTTCACTTTTATCAAAAATGAAACCATCCCCTTCTCTGAATAGAGTGGTGAAAGGCAATAACTTAAGTCTGTCACAGGAGAATATGAAAGAAGCACTGGCCCCATTTTATTTCTTATTTATTTGCCATATCTGTTTCACGCCTTTCTCACCCTGGAGGGGACTCAAGGCGGCCTTACAACAGGCAGCAATTCAATACTATACATACATAAATTTAATCTTTCTGCCATGGATCTGCTTCTGTCCTTTTTGGATGTCTGGGCAAGGGAATTATGGCAATGGCAGAGATTCATAAGCAGCATGATATTACAATCAAATAACATACTGTTTGTGTTCCTATAAATGACTTGTGTAAGTAAAGAACAAGCATAAACCTTTGTGTGAAATGCAGTAGCTATTATTGTGAAGTTAGTGGAAGCAGAGTTTCTAAACTTCTAATGCTAGAATCTTAAATGTAGCACTGAATTATTTACAAATCTCAATGAAAAATTTATATTAATGAGTGCATTTGAAAATGACGATTTCACAGAGGTAATTGACAGAACTGCAAATTGTTACCCAGCAGAACAGCAGTCAAATTTTCATTAAAAGACTTCTAACTCTTTCCCACAATTTACAGATGAAACTGGTCCCATAACTAACACTAAAGCAGATACAGCTCGAAAGTTATCAGATGAAGATCTGAGGAAATCCTTAGCAAGAAAAACTTTGGTAGCATTTCCTCAAAGAGCAAACCACCCTTCTCTTGAAGGGGAGCCTGTTTTCTCCTCCACAAGATACTTGAACAAGAAATCAGCAGATGAGGAATCATCCTCTTCATCAAGCTCTGAATCAGATTCCAGTTCTGATTCTGATGAAGAAAAAGATGATAGCTTCAAAAAGATTGTAAAAACCAAAGTATCATTTCCAAGCCGAGATCCCATCTCTTCTGGTGATAGTGCAGTGAATGCAAATAAAACAAGTGAAAAGTACTTTTCTCAAGAACCAGTCAAGAGTAAACACCCTATGAAAGTCCCTCATAATCAGAAAACAACAGAGACCCCAAACAACCAAGAGAAGTTTTATCAGACAGCTGCTGATGACAAGTTGTCAAAAACAGATTTGGTGAAACCTGCCATAAAACAAACCCCTAAAGAGAGGCCCTTAAACAGCACAGATGTGGGAACAAAAATTGTGGAAAATCGAAAGTCAGCAGAAGTTACATCTAAGCAATTTGTGGCATCTGCCCCTGAAACAGCTTCTATTATATTGCCTCTAACAAAACCCATGCTTCACCAAAGTGTCGTGCAAAATTTGACTTCACTACAACAGAAAGAAAGTGTGGCTAATGAAGTACAAAAGACAGAAATACAAAGAACAGCTGCTGTACTACAAGAAGGTTTGGATGACGGAATCCCAGTGGCTGAAACAACAGAGAAGGGGGAGACTTTCTTGGAAGAAGGAGTTCAGACTGAACAGCAAAGCACTCTACAGGGTATTGCTTTATCTTCTTTGATCTGCTTTGGTTCTTTAGGAACTGACAGCTTAATATGAGCTCATCACATTTAGCCTAACTATTCCCATTGAGAACATTTTGGAATCTTTTCCATTCTAGACTTACTTAAATAGCCTTTTCACTTTGGTGATGAGATCTTCATGCTTATTGGTACTTGTGCATACATTCTTTTCCTTGATCTACCATCACCCGCTTAACATTTAAGCTATTAGAAAGCAATAGTAGATTTTATTTTCCTAACATTCTACTTAATTTTTCTCCCACCATTGTTTTTACCTTTTGAAATATTAAAAAGTAATTTGAAAAACACTCACTGTTGGAATACAAAAAGTGACAATGGAGTGGTCTCATCAGAATGGCATCCCAGTCCTGCTTGAAGTATAGCGAGGCAGCCGAGGAACACATTTTGAAGTCTCTTGCCTTTGTTGCACTTGTCTTTGGGCTTAACAGCTGCTTTTCTGCTTTAACTGACTGTCCAGTACTCTCCGTTCTGACTACTTTCCATTCTGCAAAAACTGTAGAAACCGGTTTTATTCTCCTGATTGAAATGCAAGAAACAAAGCTTACTCTGATACTTCAAGGTTGATGGGAAAGCTGTGCTTCTAGGTCAACAAAGATGTACCTTCAGAGATCAAGTTTAGTTAACTGGCAAAGTAGTTGCACTACATGCCTTCCACAGTGTTCTTCTCCAGTTGCATATTTTAGTTACCTAAATTCCATTTTTGTACATTTCCAGAATGTCTTGCAACAGAATGTTGAGACTCAGGTTTGATTGCAAAATACACCAAGTACTTCACCAAACCTGATTTTTCTTCCCCCGGTATTTTTAAAACTACAAAATTGCTTTTATTCAAGCTATGGTCTTTATAATAGAATCATAGATTTGGAAGAGAGGACAAGGAAATCCAGTCTAACCTTATTCTACCATTCAGGAATACACAATCAAAGCACCCCAATAGATGGCCATCCAGCCTCTGTTTGAAATCCGCCAAAGAAGGAGACACCATCACACTCCAAGGCAGCGTATTCACTGTTGGAACAGTTCTAACCATCAGACTTCCTCCATAAAGTAGTATTTATTTGTATTAAAATATTTTTATTTTTCCCTATATTATATGATTTCAGCTTGGCATGTTAATAAAATCAGTTTAGCCAATATGAAACAATAGAGAATAATTTAAATAGAGGTAAAACGGTTAAGACAATTACCGGTAAATTGAGTTTAAAATGTTTAATGTTTCAACAGTATACATCTATTACAACAATGCATATTTCCTTCTCTATAAAATAATTTGTAATCTTATGAGGCAGAGAAAATAATAGAAGGCCGATTGCAAAAAGAAATATGGAACTGTTTAAGATTCAAGTTTGAGATTTGATCAAAATACAGTTTCCCCAACTTTGGGGGTTCTGTGTATCCAGCAGAGGGCACCAATGACTGAGAAAAAATGTTGAAAAGATACTTCTATACTAAAAACTCCCCGACAGTCTTCCCTTTCAGCTAGTTCCTGATGTAGAAAAACATGTAAGAAGTCTAAAATTATTTGTGATGACAGAGAGAGAGATAAAAACTGATATTTTAAAAGAAGACTAGTGTTTAATACCCTGTTATAATGCAATTCAGGTAGTAGGGCAATAGTGGAGCATTTTGATATCTGTGCCAGTATAGCTAGAAGCCAATGGTTTTGTATAATAAATGATCCAGCCAAAGTTAAACACTCAGGAATTTGTAGGTTTTAGTGACAAAAGTTTTAACTCTTTTTCTTTTGAAACAAGACTTAAAAAATTCCTCCATTTTGCCCCATTTCCTTCCCTTATAACATTACACTTAACCTTTCTGCCTGTCTACATTGCTCTTTCTCGTCTTTGTCTATGTGCTCTACAACTAGGCTGGTGGTCAATATACAGTCAAGTACAGATAGAATTTTTATATATTCTTTACTACCACTGTCACCACACACACACACTTTTCATAGCTCAACATCTTAATGATTTGGCAGAGATGAATTAAGAATAAAATCCTGGGCATGTTAATTGAGTCATAGAAACAAGTAGTGGTTAACATTTGAGTTAGAGGTGCTTCATATGTTACAGCTAAAGGAGTTCCATTCAGAGCTCCAGAAAGTTCTCAGTAGAGTAGAGGCAGTCCCTAAATTACTAACAAAGTAACTCCAGTCATACAAATACACACACACACACACAAATATATATATCACATACAACATACATATACATTATACACACACGCATGCGTGCTTTGGATAGCATAGGGAAGGGTTAGCACCCCTGTGGTGTTTGTTTTGCTTTCTGTGCCACTATTCAGAATATTTCACCTCACTCTCTATCACTGTGATGGAGTTAGAAAAATTTAGATACTTTTAGAAACAAGGATTTGTGATAAAGCTTCAATTGAGATACTTTTTCCCCATGAAAACTTTTCCAGGAGTGAATTTCCCTTCCGAGGGTTAGATTTCTCTCACTTCCTGTTGTCTCGCCCCTATTCTTAACTATGAGTCATTTGTAAGTTGGATGTTTGTAACTTTGGGGACTGCCTAGATTTGCTGTTAAACAAAAGTTGTCTGTGAAGAATGGGTACCTTTCAGCTTTTGTAAAGGGGAGTAAGGGGGAGGGGGATAAGGAATTAATCACTTTTCTAGTCAAAACCTGCAAACATCTCTTTGTTTCAATACTTCCCACTTATATGTGGGGCAGTGGTAGAACCACATCCATAGGCAAATGACTAAAAAAGCAAGACATGACTGTCCAGGGAAGATCTGTGTCTAGTTAGAGCTGTGCTTTCTTGCCCTTCCTCCTGTAGTTGGTTTTAGGAACACAATGAAAATCAGAATTCAAATTCCATGATGTGGGAAGTACGTCTCAGAGGTTGGAAATATTACTCAAAGTAACACATGACTTGCAGATTTTAAAAAATGTGAGTGCTGTGTTACATTATTTTCATTCATATGTGTCCCTCAGTAGCCAAGAAAATAAACGTTTTCTACTTCTTATGGATGATTTCCAAAATCTGGGATGTCTCATGTCCCCATATTATTCCTTTTAATTTTGGCATTCATGTTCCTAGGTGAGAATATTCAAAGAAGCAAAAACTTATTTATTTGCAATAAGTTACAGCTTGATGTTTGCTCTTAACTGTTTATACCTTAATCCAATGTAACACGTTTAGATTTAACTTCTTTGATATTTTAGTATATTCTTTAGCTTTAATAAAATAACAGTAGTAAGAGCAGCGTTTCTGGTGCAAAGTGAGTGTTAACCAACCTCAGTATGAAATCTGACTCTCCAGAAAAAACTGTGTCTGTTCTCTAATAATTTGATTCACATAAATATTTTTTCTCCCATAGAAACAAAGCCACCAGTTGAAACTGCTCAAGAACCATTTGACATTTCTGCCTACAAGAACCTGCAGCATCATGAGTATACACCATACACATTTGTGGATTATGATGTTTTGCTTTCAGAACTGAGGTTGCCTCAGCCTTCATCTGGGAGATTATCTCCAAGGCATTGAATCAGATGTGAAAATGCAAGAAAGCCTGATAATGAAGTAACATGTTTTAATTAAAATACTTTAATTGAAGTGCTTGACTTCATTCAATAAATAAATACTCTTAGTGATCAATATAAACTCTGATAAGTCATAAAGAGAGCAGCTCTTTGATTGTTCTGATGTGTTCTGATTTTGAATTTTAACTTGATGTGCTTTCTCCATCTTCTGCAACATGTAAAAACAAATGCCTAATATCAAATCAAGAAAAAGAGATAAGAAGAAGGATTATGTATTGTATCTGGACGTAACATTTTCTCTTTTGTTCGCTTTTCATAAATTGTCAAAATTGACATGTCATATCTTAAGAATTCGGCAGCTTGTAGTTCTCTCCTAAAATGAGCATATTATCTTGAATAAAATATATCCAAACAATAGAGAGTAAATCAAGTTATTCGTGATACAAGATTGACAGGATTATTTTGAATCTCTAAAAGATACTAAAAAATAAGCATTGCATATTTTCTCTTGCCCAAATTCAATTTTCTGGAACATCTGACTGAGATAAAACTTTTTATCCTGGCTTCATAATTTCCAGATTGAATTTTGATAGCACACAATATTATCAATTACAGTTTTTATATCTTTGTTGAAGGTCCATTTCAGGGCTGCTATCTGAGTTTAGGACATGTTTTTAGTAGAGGTTAATCTGCTTTTTATTGTGGTTGGCATTAGCGCAGACCAGTGCTGTAATTAGGTATGACAATAATAATGCTCATGAAGGCCTGTTTTTCATTAAAGATATGTGAGGATGGCTGTCCTGGAGTTTACTCAAGGCAATCTACTGTGCATATGCTTGGAAGCACCAGTCTTTCCCAATCTGGTACCTTCTAGATGTATTTAATGTTGAATACATCTCGAAGGTACCAGAGTGGGGTGATAGGACTTCGAAACCAAATATTTTGATGGTACTAAGTTGAGCAGTGATATTGAATGTGTTTCAGCACTGGCTCTGAAAATGTATTCTGGAGCTGAGCATTCAGATTAAACTACTGCCAAAAAAGCAGAAATGTAGGCAAAAAAATATACTTGGTATGCTAACAGTCATATGTTAAACCTAGAAATCCCAGGAGCTCGGCTGCCAGTTATTACTGGCTTTAAGATTTGGTTGATCCCACTTCAGTAAAACCCCAGTTTAGTCCGTTATGACAGATTGCAAGCAATGCATTAAATTTAACTATTTTACCTATAACACATTACTTTTTAATATTTAAAATTAATATTAAAAATATTTAATATAAGATTTTTTATATTAGTGAAATAAGCTTTAAAATTAAAGTTCTTTTTTATTAAACACATACATCCCTCCCTGTCTCAGGACAACAAACAGATCAAATTCATATAATTTAAAATTGAAAACAGTAAAAACATTTAAACAGTCTTAAGAGCATATTAAACAGTGTAGCTAGTAAAACATCTTACATATGTGTTTGTAAGGCAAACATGATTGTTAGGCTGAGAGGTTCTGATAAAAAGCATTTCAGGAACTAGATGCCAGTGTTGGTAGCATTTGGACCTCCATGGCAAGGACATTTGATATTGGGTTGACAAAGCAAAAAAGACGCTCTCTCACATCCTCACACAGTATATTTATTCTACTATTAGGACATAGAAGAAGCCTTCTGAATCTGGATTCAAGAGTAATTCCAAAATGCACACCTGCTTCTTCAAAGAGAGTACAACACAGATACTTTGCTTAGCCAGAGTTTGTATTTGTGAATCAGCAATCCATCTTCCATCAAAATTCAGCTTCAATTAACAGATATTTATTCAACTCATTATAGCATCTAACCACCTCCTTCCCAGTGAACTCCAACAACAAGGACAAGTAGAACTGAATATCAGCATACTGATATACAAAACTTATAAGGCATTACACTGTGGCTTTAAATTGTTTTTAAAAAGTAATTGGTGATGCTTTGGATACTTGTAGTACACCTTATCTTAATAACTATGGGCTAAGCTCAAATCTCTCTTGTTAGAAGTGGAATTATCATAATGTGGTGCCTTCCCTTGCAGAACTGTTCCAGTAGAAACCTATGGTCAGTGACACATCCAGGAGGATCAACTGGGCCACAAAGCCTTTGTAGTTCACCCACAGGGCAACTTCTGTCAGGCCAACCAAAGACATTGCTATCCCATACCAAAATGAACAATCTTTGTTATGGCAGGCTTGAATTTAATAGTAACGTTTGCAAGCAATTATTTAAAGTCATAAGCAGTGCTATGGAGCCCCTAGTGGCGCAGTGGGTTAAAGTACTGAGCTGCTGAGCTTGTTGACCGAAAGGTCGCAGATTCAAATCTGGGGAGCTGCGTGAGCTTCCACTGTCAGCCCCAGCTTCTGCCAACTTAGCAGTTCGAAAACATGCAAAATGTGAGTAGATTAATAGGTACTGCTCCAGCAGGAAGGTAAGGGCGCTACATGCAGTCATGCCAGTCACATGACCTTGGAGATGTCTACGGACAATGCCGGCTTCGGCTTAGAAATGGAGATTTATTTATTTATTTACTTACTTTGCTTCTATACAGCTGTTCTCAGCCCAGGGGCGACTCACAGCGGTGTACAACATTGGAGATGAGCAGAGTTTGAGATGACTGGATTTCATGTCAGAGGAAAACCTTTACCTATACCTACCTTTATATAAGCAATGCTGTATTAATAACATGGTATGTTAGTGATTACTTGTAAATAATAATAATAATCATCATCATCATCTTTATTTGTAGACTGCCCTATCTCCCCAAAGGGACTCAGGGTGGTTTTCAATACGTATGGCAAACATTCAATTGAAAAAAGGGAAAACATACAAATAAATTACATCAGGACAGACCACATTGAGCAATATAAAAACAACCTAACTTTAAACTTAATAACAGACAAAATAACCAACAGTAAAAACTTAAATAACCCATACAAATATAACGGTTGATATAAATTTAATACTAGATAAAAACAAGTTACATGATTTTAAATGCAAATACATTGCTTTTTTAGCAACATTTTTCAGTTCTAAAACTTACATTTTAGGAATATTAGAGTTCAATTAATTTTGCAAGAGACTACTGACAGAAAAGAATACATAAGCTCCTATTTTCCTTTACTAGCCTACATGAAATGTGCCACCACATTTGATTCCTTCCTGTATTTTTGGAAGCATATTTTGATCTGTTAGCTGGTACACATTTTGCCTTACTACTGCACTGTTTATTTTTCTTTTAAATAATGTTACTATAGTGAAACTTGGATGTGAAGTCAGTTGGTTCTCTGTTAGTCACATATTACCTGGGTTAGTTATAACAGGCCTATTGAGACTAATTGTGAAAGTGTTTCATAACTAGTCAACTGTTTAGTTTTCTTGCCAGCAAATGAACATAAGATGCAGTGTTCTTTGACATAAACATGATCCTGGAAGTGAGCTTTCTCCCACTAAAATCGAATATATTGGTGTTTCTTTGTTCTGATTTGTAGTAATTTTAAGCAATGTTAATTGCAATAAGGATAACTCTCGATTTCTTCTTAAATCTTATTAAGTATTTGAGAATCATTGAAGCAAGATTTTTTTAAAAGAGTTCCATACAGTAATTCCTTTTCAAAGACCTTCCGTGCAAGACGACCTCGGACAATAGATAGCATTGCTTGCAAGATCTTAGTTATCTTCCAGGAAATCATATTAAGAAGAGGGATGGGGTTTGTATCTTTGAAGCATATCAATATAGAGCATTGAAATCTTTGAAATAGGAGAGTAAGCACAAGATTAATGTCTGATTTCACTTTCTAGAAATTATGGTGGGACGATTGTAAACATTTCCCCCTGCATATTCTCTGTCAAATATTTTCCCGTGCATAAAGAGGAAAATAGAAGCAATTCTGTAAACATTTCCTTCCTTAACAAGTTAAAATGTGATTTTAACACAACTAGTAGATTGATGAAACAGAATGTCAAACTGGCAAAGACCAAAAATTGTCTGGTTCTGTGTCCATAATTCTTCAAATGTTTTAAAATTCTTAAGATAGTAGCCTCAGTACAGGCCAAACAGGCTCTTTATCGGCTGTCTAAAAATAAACACAGCTCAACACACTGCTGCAATACAGCAATAGCCAGATTTTGTAGATCTAATAATACTGAATGTTTATTGGAGCCATGTGAATGCTTGCCAAAGTCTGAAAAGTGTTCAGCCTTCTTAAATAATGTTTTAGACAGTGGGCTGCACATTCAAGGGTTTAATAACACTAGAGCAGCGCAGGATAGGAGAGGCTTGCATTCTTCATCAGAAAATAAATGACACAAGAAGAAATGAATTCAGAATGGTCTTCTGTGTACATGTTTGGCTTACCTTATCCGTAGGTGGGTCAGTTTGAGGGTATAAGGGAAAACGAGAGTGGGGTAAACATAATTCACTTTTGCCTATTTTTATTCCAACTCTTGGACTTCAATTTGATACTTGTATTTATACTGACACCTGAGTCTGAAAAAGGCCGAAGAGCTCAATAGATAAGGAAAAAGGTGAGCTTGCTAGAATCTATAATAGACATCATGTTTTAAATTAAGCTGGGAAGTCTGCCAAAAAGCAAGCTAGACAAACCTTGGAGTGATATATTTTCTGTTGGTCCCTGGAGTTCCATTTTTTATTATGCCATGTGACCACCTGTTGATGCCCAGGAATTTGACCTAAATATAGATGACATTTTAGATAGCAGTTAGACTAGTGTCATCATACCATCTGAAATTGCTTATAAAACATGTATTTTTCCCTCTGTCAAAATCTGGCAGGTATGATTCTTTGGAGGTAACAATGCTTTAAAATATACTAAATGCAGTTTGGGTGGAAAATCCCAGAGGCAGAAGCAGTATGCACCTGGGTCTGTCACTGAAATCAGTGGGAAGTTAAAATCAATGGGACTTGCCAACTTGAAGAGATTGATGAAAATGTCATTTTAATGTACTGGAAACAAAATGGGAAGTTTTAAGAATGAAAATGGCACCACCATTTCCTCCCATCTACCTTCCTGACATGTATATTTATGCCTTTCTGTAAAATAATCTGTAGTAATTTTTAATCCCTTTGGGTCTTCAAGCCTAATATTTCTCTTCATTAAACCCTTATCCATACAATATATTATCTTTCCTAATAGCTCCTAACTCAGAATACTGACATTTCAAATTTTTAACTTTTCTAAAAGTATGCTAACAAGATGTGTATTCAGACTGCTCATCATTACTGAAAGGCAATGCTATCAGAACAAATTTGAATCCCAAGCTAATATACTGGACAAAAAAAAGGTCTCAAAAAAGGCTGTGTGATGTCTAACAGTATAAAGAATCTAAAGTGATTACACATCCTTTTTGCAAAATGTTCTGCATTGCTTACAGCAT